AATGTTAAGTGGTGAATTCACTTTTAGCGGCTAGCAAATGGAAATAAAAAAGATTTACTTACCTAAAAGATGGATCTAGAGAGAGAACGAAGGAAATAAAATCAAATCGTTAATTCCTTTTTCTTCAATAAATGATTCAGTTCAATTATTATGATATGGAATAGGAATTTAATAATCTCAATGAGGATTGGTGGAATGAAATGGAAGGAAAAAAGAAAGTATCACTTGGGGAGTTCTATTCTATTTCTATACTCGGAACCGATAAGAGAGCGATAGCGAGAGAGCGAGGAGTTTCAATTTTTTTTCCATACATGTGCCTCACACGTGACTAACACATTATTGCAACGTGTGTAAATAACAAAAAAAAACAAAAAACAAAAAAACAAAATTTAACAAAAATACTTGATTAAAAAATTACAATCTGAATTGCCCAAATAACAACAAAGATTAAAGAATACACATTAAATTAGAAAAACATTGACAAATTGATAAATAAAAATGTAATTAACTCAATTTTCATGCCTTTTTGTTGTTTTTGAAAAAAGAAAAGGATATTGTGGCTATTAACATAGGGTGTGTTTTCTATATTTAGAATATGTAACTCTAGTTTTTTTTACGTGTGTTACGCCGTGAAGGATCATGCATCCTATAAAGGTGTGAAATAAACAAAAAAATTTCTCTATCTAAAAGGCCTAAGATCATGCTCGTTGAATCAACCGACTATATATACATGAATTAAAGTAATGAATAGAGAAGGACCTCTTATAGTACGGAACTAAATTCTTTAGCGAGAAAAGCCATCCAAGTGTCCAACATTTATAGATGATCTACGTAATCCAAGCACCCACAAAGAACTCAAAATTAGTAGAGTGCTAACTCAACCTTTTCCGATTTATGTAGTGTTTTCTATAGAAATCTAATTCGGGCAAGTTTGCGACAACCCAAAGAGAAGAGAGAAGAGGTGGCATGCTAGGGTTAAGGAGAAAATAATTTTCTCCTTATTTTATTTTAGTAATGTGTCCCTTTTAATTTTCTTAGTGTGTCGAATTAATTCTCTCCCCAAAAGCTCTCTCTTTATGTCGTACCTCTCCTCTTATTTATAGAGAGAGTTTCCTTGTCCTCCACGAGAGAAGAGAGTTTCTTTGAAGGATTAGAAGTTATTTTACATGTGAGTTTTTTATCTTTATCATTATCCAATAAAGTTGATAGTTATCCTTAAAACATTCATCCTTATCCAATAAGGTTGATGTTTATCATTCCACAAAAACATCTTAAGGCTTTTAATTAAACCTATTAGGCCAAAACCATTCTGACCCAATTAATTTATTTGGACTATCCAAATAAATAATCTTAGATAATTTTAGGCAGTCCACATTAGAAAATAATTTTTCAAAATACCCTTTAACCTAAATTAGGAAACTCATTTTTATTTTAGGTTATTTACTTCCAAATTTGAAAACCGATTTCTAAAATAGAAAATTTTTTATTTTAGGAAACTTTCTATTTTAGTAAACTTTTCATTTTTAGAAACCTTTTTCAAAATTGAAAACTTTTTCTAATGTCTTTGCTTCTCTTTAATCATATGAATGCTTAAACTTGTATTTGTGACTCAATAGGCTCCTAGATATGTTGGCAATGTATCAAGGATAAAAGACTCTTCTTTTATCTCATGATATATAAATCAAGATTGGTCTTTAGTAATGCATCATGACTATCAAATTCTCTAGGAGAATTAATTAATCTATTATTACCTTTTACGAGCATGGTTACCATACCATTCGAGTCCTCATGTCAACTTATCACGAGTGTGATCTCGAATTTGGTTATAAGTCTTATTCGATTATGATCACATAAGTTTTCTTCGATTCTCAAATGTCTTAGCTCTTAGAGTAAACCAATTATGCTCTATTCGTGTAATCCTACTATGGTCATAGATTTCTTGAGCGGACATTCATCGAAGTACAATATGATAACTCTTTTAGCATACAAGAAATGACATGTCATATCTTAGTCATACACCTACCTCCATTAGATTCCTAGTGTACCCAACAAATCACCCACGTGTAACACTTTATCGGGTCCATCGAAATGAGTGTAAAAATGCATAAATCCTCTAATGAGATAACCATTATGACTTTAAGTTTAAGGACCACTTATACCCATCGTATAAGATTCCCATAGACTAAACCAAATGGATTATCATGGCAAGTCAAGTCCAATGATATATTCTCTAGCATAAATCACCTAAGCATTTGCTTTGGTATCATTATGCCAATAGGTGTGAGATCTCTTCGTTGCTATCATATAACATAAGCATAGTACTCATAAATCTAACTACATATAGTTAATGTCCATTATTAACAATACTATAACTTGAGACATTTAATGATATCATTTATGTGCATTAGTGTTTGTCTCACAAATTTCAATTAATCACTAATGTAAATGCATATCATATGGATTTCTATCTAATCTTATTCAATCAATAAATGCAAATGATAAGAATTAATAGAAAGACTTCTTTATTATAAATCATGCAATGATATAATAGCTCAAACCCCTCCAAACATGGTTAGATCTTAGGCACCTACACTAACATGCTATAGATCGACCAAAACGCATAAAATTATTTCGAGTTTGATGGCTTGTGTTATATTGTGCGTCTATCAAATATATCAAATAAAAATTGAATAAAAATTCATTCAATTTTGTAATTTTTAATTAAAATTTTGTATTTGACTAATTATTCTTTATATTGTCATAATTTGTTTTAAAAAAAAAACATTATCTATTTATCTCTATCTATATTTTGAACTAAACAAATTATACTAATGCAAGAAAAATGTCAAAATCAATGGATTCTTAGCTATAAGCTTATTTTGTAAATTATTTTTTTCTAGAAATTTTTTTGCCTTAAAAATTTTAATTAAAAAAATTAGATAAAAAAAAAGAACCAAAATGACCAAAAATGAAATAAAAAGAAAGACCAAAATAAAATAAAAAAAATTTACGAGATCGGAAAAACATTGTTTAAAAAAGAGGGATCAAAGTATAATATTACAAAAAACTTTCATAATAAACACTTTTAAAAAATTAAAAACTATAAAAAAGCCACTATATAGTGAAATGAATAGTACATAAGAGTCGAGTGTGAATAATACATATTAATCGAATGAATAGTATTAGAACGATGCCAAGTAAACTAACATTTTTTTTTTTTTGGTTAATGTGTTATTTTTCTAACTAAGGATTAATGCCTACTTTTATTCATTCTCTAATTATAAATTAGAGGTCATATTTACACTTTGGAAATACGAATTGCATGTTTGTGGTGTTTGGTTGTTTTTTTAATGTGACACATATTACTTGCATTTGTTGTTAGCGAATTTAATTTGATTGTATTTTGTAGGTTTTTTTTTTTTTTTTTTGCATGTCTTAATTGAAAGAATTTTATAATAAAAGAAATATAAAAAAATGGTTTGATGGTGGTTTACAAGGCAATCTAACTTTCAAACTCAAACATCAATGAGTTTAATTAATTTATATACTTATACTACTATTTGTTTTAAAGTTATTTTTAGTATTTTTTTTAATATAATGCTAAATTAAATGAGTTGCAATCAATTTGCAAATCATGGAAGAGGGCCTGGATTCCAAGTTTGTAGCCCTAGCACATGCCCAAGATTTTTTATGAAACTCCTCACCCTTTTGTTTCTTCTTCTTATTAGCGAATATACGCCTTGCAAAATTCCCGTATTCGACATATGTTCGGCATATGGCCTTAACTCTTTAATTGCCTTCTCAAGATCCTATCTAGAGAAAACATATTAGTCAATAAATGTCAATGGCTGCTATTTTCAAACTCTAAACTTTAAATCAAAATATAGAATTAAAAATTCAATAGATAGACAAATCTTACCTTTTATGGCAAGCAAGCATACATGCAAGGAAAGTAGAATGTCGTTAAAATTAAGATACTAAAGAGCTTGTAGCCTAATGGTAGTAGTCTCTTGTAACAAAAGGTCATGGGTTTAAATCCTAGGATACTAGTTTTGTTAAGAGTCTTAGGTGTGTGAATTGAAAAAACAATTATTAAAAAAAAAATTAGATTTTCCAAACTATTTTATAATCAAAACCAAACATTCAAACTAAAAAGCTTTGAAATTAAACAATTTATATGCTAGAAATGAAGGTATTATCTTAACAATATGCATATCTTAAACGAGAACCTAAATTCATTGATGAAGAGAGAAAGAAGAAGAAAAGGGAGAGGAAAAAGGAAGAGATGGAGGGGAAGAAAAAAGAAGAGAAAAGGAGAGCTACGAACTGCTGGAAAGAAAAAAAGAAGAGAAAGATGAAGAAATGAAAAAAAAAATTAGCTAATAGGTATTTAAGGATTTTAGTTTTTAGCGACGGTTTAAAATCATTGTAGAAGATAATTTTTTATTCAAAAATTTGTTTCCCTCCAATGGTAACAAAATTAGCGACGATTTCTTAACATCGTCACTAATTTTGGTGTTTAGCAACGATTTTTAGCCAAAAAGCTATCCCTAAAAGCCCTTTTTTCAATGAATTTTTAGATAAATGCTTTTAGTAATGGTTTTTAAAAAACCGTCGCTAAAGTTACTCGAAATATAGGGTTTTTAGCAACGGTTTTAAAAAAACTATCACGAAAATCTTTTTTTTTTTTTGGAATTAGCAATGGTTGAGTTAAAACCCTGCTAATTCCAAAACAATTACATTTTTAGTGAAAGTTTTTTTTGAAACCGTTGCTAAAAATTGTCTAAGTTGACAGAATCTACGACGATTAAAAACTGTCGTTAACTACCAACATTTGACAAAAAATAAATCATCACTATTTCGGGGTTTTAGTAAGGGTTTTAAAAACCATCGTTAATTAATGTTTTTCGGTAGTGTTATACTCATTCAACGTCCAGTTGAGTGGTTATGCAGATTCTTCCGATATTGGGGGAATGGAGAAAATTCTGAGGAAGATGAAGATGCATGTCAGCATTTACCGAAAAGCTTGCACTGTTGCCGGTAAGGGTTACTTGAAAGCTGGCTTAAATGAAAAGGCTTTATCAATGTTGAAAGGAATCAGAAACATTAATAAATGGTAACTTGAGAAAATATGCCTATAAAGTTGTCCTCTCTTTATATACAGATGTTGGCAGTATGCATGAATTGTATCGTTTATGGAATTTCTATAATAAATCAATGAGTATCCCTAACGCAAGCTATCTGCGTATGATATCTATTTTGATGAAGTTGGGTGACATTGATGGTGCTGAGAGAATTTGGGAGATTGGTTATTGAGGAAGATCTCGTTTACCAGTGAAATAGCAAATGCCATGATTACTAGTTATTCCAAACATGGTTTTAGGAAAAGGCTGAGGCATTTGTAAACAAAGCTGTAAATACTGCGTTGGAGCTCAATGAACGCTAGTGGGATCGTTTAGCAACTGGATATCATTTTGCTGGCTAGATTGTGGAAGCAGTAGAAGTAATTAAGGAAGCAATTTCAATTAAGACACCAGGATGGAAGGCCAGTACATGTACTTTGGCTTCATGTCTTGAGGGTTTGAAAGGTCAGGGAGATGTGGAAGTAGCAGAAGAGCTTTTGAATTTGGTTATGAAACGATGTCCTCTCAGTCCAGCTCTTTATGACAAATTCAAGACCATAATCCGAAGTGGAAATCTGGATGCCAGAGCGCTTGATCAGATGGAAGGCGATGATCAGGCACTTAAATTTAGATAAGATAGATTGTCGAAGAAGGGTGAATTTTATATCTTGCAAAAGTAATCTGGTATTGAACAGCTTATCAAGCTTCTAGTTGAGGTCTATTTTAACTAATGTGCTGTAACATTCTTTTGTACATAAGTCATAACCAAGCAAGAACTATGTCAGGTTTGTCGAGAAATATCATCATCAATCTTGTCAAACCACATTGAAATTGACATAATTTCCTTCACGGGCCACACGCGCGCACACACGCACACACACATATAATTAGTTTTGTTATAAATTAATAATGTATCTACATACATAATACTGATTATTTATAGTTTATTTTTTTATATTCTAAAATTAATATTTTTAAATAAAATAATTGAAAGATATAAATCATTATTTTTTTTATAAATTAATTATGTATTTGCACACATAACCTCGGTTATTTGTTATTTATTCTTTTTAATGTTTTAAAATTAATTTACATTAATTATGAAAAATAAGATTTTTATCCACACTACACCATATAAATCGTTGACCTTACATATAAGATTATCTGATCGCAGCATAGCGCGAGTACATTACTCGTGGAATCTAATTCGAGAAGCATCATTCAACGTAAAAAAAACCCTCAATTTAATGTAACATTCTCCATTAGTTCATATTTCCTCCATCCTACCTTATTTCTCCATATATTTTTGAAAAAAAAATGTTTGTTTACTTTTTAAATGAAGCATATGAAAAAAAAAAATTGATTTTCCAACCTCATCCTCAATTATTTAATTAATTATACAATAAATGGAGGAATAGATAAATACTATCATTTGATGGTAGTGGTGCAATGCTTCTTAACTCACATAAAAATAAAATCCATCCCGGTAATCATTGGTTGATTAATAAGGCTCCATTTAAAGCATGTTTGGAACCCGTGGAATTTAGAGATTTTAATGAAATCTCATGTTTGGAATCATTTTATGAAAAATTTAACTCTAAAAATGATACAAAAGTAAATTAGAGGCCTTGCTGAAGTAAAGAGGAGAAATTAATGTTAAAAATTAACTTTTCCAAAATACCAATTTATCTTTTTTTTCCTCCACTCTTTTCTCTCTAGCCAATAATAAGCATACACAACAACAATAATCATAATAATAAACAATAAACATATAGCGCTATTAAAATTTTAATTAAATTATCAAAACGTTTTTCTTCCATCTCAACTTATATCAATTTTCCTTAATTCTATAGCTAGTGTAGCCTTGAGAAAATAAGGTTTTAGAGACATGTATTTAGATTTAATTTTCTGGGTTATTAGTGATAATGGTGATAGAAGAAAATTAAAGAAAGAGAGAGGGATTGTAGTATTTGAAGGAAGTGAGTTTTTTTTTGTGGTTGAAAATATCTAGAGTGTTGAAAAATCTTTGAAAGAATAAGATAAAAGAGTTGAGATTGAAATAGAAAATAAAATGAATTGAATTCAGTAATAAAATATCTGTATAAACATATTAATTCAATTCATTTATCAATTAAATTCTATTTGAGTATTATAATTGAATTCGTTTCCACACCCCATGCTAATTACCCTACCCGCTTAAAACCTTATTGGGCCTGGCCATAATCTAACCAAGCTGACCTTCGAAAATCCTGCGCAGTTCTATTGCCGACCCGATTAAAACCGGATCCACCCTCATCCTTGCTCAGCTTATAACCCCCAAAAGGCGGAAGAAATGATTCTGTTCTCTTCTCACACTGCCGTTGCTCTCTTCTCTCTCTTGAATCTTCGAATCAGCATCTCTAACGAGACCCTAAAAACCCTAATCTCTTAGAGTTTCAAAGATGTTAGACATCAATTTGTTTCGCGAAGAGAAAGGCAACAATCCAGAGAAAATACGCGAGTCACAACGACGTCGTTTTGCTAATGTCGAGATCGTCGATGAAATCATTCGGTTTGATAACGAATGGCGGCAACGTAAGTAACGGTCGGTTTACTCAATACAGCAGCAGTAGTCATTTGATGTCGTTTTTAACTGTTGTCTGATATCATTTTCTTGTAGGTCAATTTGAGCTTGATAATTTACGTAGAGAGTTTAATAAGCAGAACAAAAGAGTCGCGCAGCTTAAAATCGTAATTAATTAATAATTAATTTTTTAATTTTTGTGTTTAATTTTTTCATTTACTAATTTAATTTTTTTGAAATTTATTTATTGTAGTTTAATTTTTATTAATTTTGTATTAAAAAAATAGGCGAAAGAAGATGCAACGGAAGCAATTAAAGATACTGAAGAGGCAAAAAAATTGATAGCTGATAAAGAAAAAGAGGTGCAAGAGGCTAAAGATGCGCTGTATTCTAGATTGTCAACTATTGGTAATCTCGTGCATGATTCAGTGCCGTTTGACAATAACGAGGTGAGTGTATTCTTGTCTCTATTCTTGTGGGCGTATATATATATATATATATATTTTCATCCTTGAATGGTGTAATGATTGGTTAAAAATGTATGTCGTGTTTTTTGGTTGTTGTTATGTAGGATAATAATGCTGTGATTCGGGCGTGGGGGAAGAAGCGAGTGGAGAAGAAGTTGAGGAATCATGTTGACCTTGTTGAACTTCTGGGGATTGCGGACTTGAAGAAAGGTATGCGGGCATTCCATATTGCTGCCTCTCTTTAAATTGACTGACACACATGCAAAATTGTGTCCAAGATGACCGTCATTTTAGGATTTGAATTGGATGACGTATGGACTATAATTTATGTTACTTAGTCTCTTGTGACAAGGGTTTTATGTCATCCATGAGGGTTTAGTTATTGGGGATTTTTGTGTATGGTGTTGGTCAAATGTGTTAGATTTATAGATGTTTGGTATGATTCTTATAAGCCCCTGAGCCTAATCAATGGAGCTTGATGATCTTAGCTTATTGTTGTCTAAACCTTGTGGCTCCATCATTGCTCACTGGTTTATGAAGCTGGGCTTTTGACCTTGAGGGACTCTCAGTGTAGATTAATCAGTCCTGATGTTTCATTTTCATAATGAACCATCAAAATCGCATTTCCCTTTTTGTCTATAGCCGGTAAAAAGGGTAGTTCGGAGTGTCTTGACGCTTTAGCATGTGAAGTTTAAGTTAATATGGATGTTCTGGAAATGATTAGGTGCTGATGTAGCAGGAGGTAGAGGCTTTTACCTCAAAGGTGATGGTGTCCGACTTAATCAAGCATTGATCAACTTTGGCCTGGAATTCTTGGAGAAAAGAGGGTACACGGCCTTGCAGACACCCTTTTTTATGAGAAAAGATGTCATGGCAAAGTGGGCCCTGTTAGCACAATTTGATGAAGAGCTTTACAAGGTGAGTTTTAGAAAGTACTAGGGCATAAACATATTCTCTGAAAGTCTACATTTTGAACATCTCAAATATATGAACAAAAGCAGGAAAGGAACCTTTGAGTAATTGCTGCAATTCTCTCCATCACACCTTGTAGTTGATGTCCAAATTATGAGATACTTTACTTCACTTCTTAATAAATTAGCCTCTCTCCTCCTCGTTACCTTTAGGTTTTGGTTCTGTAGATTTTCTGTTGGGATCATGTAGGTACTTTAATTGTATGAGTGGTATTACCCAAATATCTGCTTTCATGCCTATTATTTGCAGATCATCTAACACATTCTTCTACTAGGATTGGAGGGTGAATTCCTCGTTAATGACTGTCATTGGTCTGATTGTGATGCATTTGCATTATTAAACTAGTTGTTGGTTACCATGTGCATTTAGATTTTGCTTAATATGAGAATGCCACAATGAGTTTATGAGTGATCCACGCTGTTAACGTTCTAAGCCTGCAGGTTAGATGTGCTGAATTCTTATACTTTGTGCTAGTAGCACTTAATTATATTAAATTTCATTATTCTCTTGTATTTTATTATTATTATTATTTTGTTTTGTTTTGTTTTGTTTTTTGCTGCAGTCTAGTGTGGTTCTGTTTTTTGGGTATGCATTGGTGCCCTGTCTTTCTTCTTTGGGTTGTTGAAGTTGTAGCATGCTTAATGTGCTAAATGAAACCTTGTTTTCGCCCTTCTACTTTCTTACTCACTCCACCCTCCCAGTCTTCCATAACACGTAAAAAATAAAGATAAAAGGGGGAAAAGAAGATCAAAACTCTTATTCAAGCTACCCTGACAAATCTGGAAAAAGCCACACAATTCATTAAACACTTGGCAAATGCTGTAGCAATCATTCTTCATCTCCACTAATGTACATCTGCATCTCCATGGGATATAAAGCAAAGAAGAATATAGAGAGAACAATTTGATAGAAGTCCGCTAGCATTCAAAGCTAAACTAAACATTGCCCATGAGACTCTCTAGGTTTTCCGAAGATGGACTGTGCATTAAAGCGCAAACAGATTATACCATCACCGTTGTTTTTTCTTGCCAAAAACCTCAAGCACCACACCTTTGTCAGCACAAGCATAAAATATACCTCTTTCACACGCACGGAGTAAAGCACACCCAGACACAAAGTAAAGCAGTATAATCTATGTATCGTCTCACTGAGTTCAAGGAGAGATTAGGATTTGAGCTTTGATGAATAAAAGAGGAATCGGTAGAAATTCGCATAGCTGAAGCAAATCAAACCCATTTTCGTTTAAATACGATTAAGAAAAACAAGGACAAAAATATAGTAGATTGGAGAACCCAGGAGATTCTATAAAAAATAGAAAACATCGAATTAAGCTGAGGCCTAAAAATAGAAAGACATATATCAACACCCTAACCTTGTTAAGTTGATTGGTTACTGCTTAGAGGATGACCATCACATGCTGGTTTACGAGATCATGACCCGGAGCAGAATGCAGAATCATTTATTCTGGAGTGAGTTACTTATGCTCTTTCCTATTAACTGCCACTTTTGGTGTCTCTGTTTTGTGAAGAGCAGGAAATCCCATACCAACTGCACCTTATTTGTAATGTTATTGAAGTATTGAATAAATTGAAAAACAGGAGGGTCTCACTTCCAACCACTTTCTTGGAACATTCGAATGAAAGTTGCACTTAATTGGTGCTGCAAAGGGGCTTGCCTTTCTTCACAGTGCTGAAGCAAAAGTCATATATCGTCATTGAGACTTCTAACTTCCTTCTTGATTTGGTAGGTACCTCGCTACCATTTTCTTATCATTTCTCCTTTTTCTTATCACTTTTTTTTTTTTTTTAATGGTAATATGGCTGTATATGTTGAGATTTAGCTTCAGACTCATGACTTGAACTGCTTCTTCTGCTCTATATTTTTAAGGCTACAATGCAAAGCTTTCTGATTTTGGTTTAGCTAGGGATGGGCCAACTGGCATTAAGAGTCATGTATCTACTAGCTAGGGTCATGGATGAGGTGGTAATGGCATGAGAGTAGCTGCAAGAAAATGTGAAGGTTGTGCCAAAAATTACTCAAAAAGAGAGCAGTTTAAAAGTTCATAGGGGTTCCAACTACAGACGGATTGCTAATCCTAGGCCACTTCATGGGTAAGAGAGAAATTTTTGGACTTGTTAATATTCTTATTCAAGAAGTGTACAGATTTTGCTTTGCCTTGTGTGTTAATTTTTAAGTCTTCATTTCTTTTTCTTGTATTGTCTACCGGCAATCAGAAGTCAGAATCACGAAATGCGCATTAATTTGGATATTGATAGCACAGCCCTTGAAAGTCAGAACACAGAATACGTAACGTGCATTAATCATCTCAATGGAAAAGCTACTTAATAAATACATCAATTTTAAATTTTTTCACAATTAAATATATTAATTTTTATTTTTTAATATATTAATTTTTTAAAATATCAATAAATTTTTTTTTCTGATGCGATGATTTAGCAGTTAATAAAAATAGCTATATTATCTTTCTCTCTTTAAAATTATTATTATTATTTAATTATTAATTAAAAAGAAATGGCTATATTATCTTCCTCTCTTTAAAATTATTATTATTATTTAATTATTAATTAAAAAAGAAAAAACAAATCAAGTGGCATGTATGCTTGTCAATTATTTTTTTAATTAATAATTAAACAATAATAATAATTTAAGAAGAGAAAAAAGCAACACAGTAATTAATCTTTTTTGTTAATTAATATGTCATCGGAAAATTGAACAAAAAAAATAAATTATTTGATATTGTCAAAAAAATTAATATAAAAACAAAAAATAAAAATGGATATACATTATTGAAAAAAAAATTTTAATTAATATACTTAAATTATCAAACAGTCTCATCACCCCCATATCTTTCAAGTCCCCATTTTTGCAGGAGATAATATCCTCTCCTCTGCGCTCTGAGAAGACCTGTGCAGCCAACGTAAAGCAATATAAAAACATTTTAGCAAAATTAAATTTCTGTCTCCATGTCTTCTCAATCAATCACAAGATCTTCAAAGATTGTAAATTTCTTTCTCCAAGCATCCTGCTGCTTGGAACAGTACATTGTACTTTTGAAGAAACAGTATATTGTACTATTAAAATTATAATCCCACGGACATCATGCAAGAATAGTTTTTAATAAAATATTATTAAATAATAATAAAAAAAATCAATGCATGGCATGCTTCGAAGAAACAGTACATTGTACCATTCAAACATTAATTAATTAATTAATTAATTTCTCAAAACGAGGGGACTAATTTATAATATTCTCCCCCTCTTGTGTCTTCTATTTAAATTTGTTTAGGGCGACTTTCTGTCTACCCTAAAAGAGCCTCCCCGCCGCTGCTTATCGAAATCTCTTTCGAAACACTTCTCTGTTTCTCAATGGCACCAAAACGCCCCGCTCCCTTTGAAAATCCACCTTCTGCTTCTAGCTCTAAAGAAGAAGAGGAAGAAACATCCAGTAGTGAAGAAGAAGATGAACAAAGTCCATCCTCTCCTCCTCAAACTCAAACCAAAACTCCTCGAATCCAAAAGCCAACCCCCAAAAAACCGAAACCTACCACCCAAGAATCTGAATCTGACTCTGACTCTGAATCAGAATCTGGGTCGGAGTCAGAAGACCCCGAATCGGCTGCGGCTGCCACTCAAAAGAAATCAGCAGCCGGGAAGAGGGGTAAAGGAGCCGATCGCGAACCTGAGAAATCCGGGGATTCTACAAAGAATCTGTTTCAAAGGTTGTGGACGGAGGAGGATGAGATCGCTCTGTCGTTAGGTATAATTGATTTTACAGCAAAGAAAGGTTATGCTCCATCAAATGATATGAATGAGTTTTTTAATTATATTAAGAACTCTTTAGATTTGGAGGTCAAAGAAAAAATTTGAGAATCAGGTGAAAGGCAAAAAAGGAGAAAATAAGACATTTAGCAAACCGCTTTGATTTGTCAAAAAAGAGCTGGGGCAGTGAAGGCATTAGCAAAGCTAATGAGATGAGAAGTGAGAAGAGTAATAATAATGAGAGGGGTAAGGAGGTGTTGGCGGCTGGGTTGGATGAGAGAGATTTTTCAGAGTTATATGGCAATGTGGATGATTATGTTGGGAGGAGTGGATTGAATTTTTTCCGAGGAAGGCAGAAGGCGGAGATGAAGGAGAAGTGGAGGAAGTTGCGGGAAGCTGAATTGGACTTGTACCTAAAGAGGGGAAAGTTGATGCAGGAGCAAGCAGAGGTGATGCTGTCAGCTTTTAAAGCTGAGTCAGCGGACAAGGATTAGCAAATTTTAGAAGTTAAACTCTCATTTAGTAATGTTATGCCTAATTTCTCATTTGGTGGATGCTGTCGTTTATTTCTTATTTCGTAGTTATTTTGTGTTCAATTAGTGGATTTCTTATATTTTTTGGAATCTTATTCATAGCTGCCCTTAACAGCATTTCAGCTTTTCTTTATAGTTCTTAAGAAATAACTTGTGCCATCGCTGGTTATGGGAAATTCATCTGAGTTTAACACCCAAATTATGAATATATATTGTATTTGCAGAAGGAACTTGCATAAAAAAAAAAAAACAGAGTGAAAATTTATGATCCAGTTCAAGCAAAAAGAACATTCCATTTCATAACTAGCTAGAGGGACTGGACTAGAAATTGGGCTTTATTGCAGATGGGGATGTATTATCTATTATGATATATTAATCTCAGGTTTGCTTCATTGTATTTCTGCTATTAGGAGTCTTATTGAATCGAGTCAGTATAATTGAGATTGTTCTGATAGAAAAATAGAGCATAAGAGAAAATCCACATCTTTATTTGTCATTCATTCCCCTCTAGGCATGTCCTCCTTTTGCAGGTAAGAACAAAGGACCTTACACAGGACGTAGGCCCATTGGATCAGAAGGGGGGGGATACACACAAATCTTTGGACTTTCAACAAAATGAGAATACACAGGAAACTGTTTGGCACAATTTGGACGAGAGAACGGGATGCTGTCGATTATGAAAAGAAATATGCTTTGCTTGATTAAGATTTTTCTGTTTACTGTTTATTGTGTTCAAGTAGTTAATGTAGTTTTTTTTAGATTATTTTTTAAGACTGATTTGACTAACTGTATCATAATGCATTATGGATTGCATAATTAAATTGTCAAACAAGAAAATCCAACAAATAAGCTTGAAAACATGTACTTGTGTATTTTTATGGCTCACTCACTGCATGAGTGAATCTGGGTTTAGTAAATGGACGTAGGAATTTCTTTTTGGAACATTTTTTATGATTTCTAAGTAGTAGAAGACAATGAAAAGGCTAGTCTAAGCCTCCATTACCTGTAACGTTATGCTGCTCTGGACTTGGTAAAAGCGGTGAATAAAGAAAAATAAAGTTTCATTATTCATATGGATGATTGTTTTAAATTAAAAAACAAAAAAGATTAAAACATTATTATATAGGTAGTCTAGATTAATTTTTTGTGATTTGAATAGATTTAATAGGACATATATGAATAATTTTATTTTAATTAGCAAAATTTGTTTAAATAAAGGGTTAATGATTGCAGAAATCCTTCTACCCTTTCTTTTGTCATTGTTGTCTCTTTATTTTTTTTCATCTAAAGTTTATTTCTCCACATATTTGTCTTTTGTTAATTTTTAGACGAAGAATGTTAATATTTTAACTATACTTTTTTAATCTTAATTTTATTTTTTTCACTCGATTTTAATAATTAAATTTTGAAGAAAAAAGACTAGATAAAAGTTGACGATAAAAGTGGTAATTCTCTCTAAAAATTAAGAAATATAAATTTTTTATAGATTTAAATTTATCTTTATGAAATTAAGTAAATTTTGAGTATAAAATAAAATATTTATAGTATTTTTTTAATATGTTTATGATAGTAAGTAAATTTTAAGAATTTTTTTTATATGTAAAAATTGTTTAGTTAAATTTTTATAAAACAAAAATAAGTAAAATATAACGAGACTCTTTTGAGGTATTATAAAATTATAAATATCATTAAAAATTTTAAAATTTAATAAAACTCTCTTCATATTTTTTTAAAAGTACTATAATATTTTCTTTATACTTGAAATCTGCTTACTATCATAGAGAAAATTTTAAACCTATAAATAATATTTTAGATATAAAAATATTTTTTATCTTTTATTTTTTTTAATTTTTAATTGTTTGAATGAATAACCAAATATGTCTTCATCTTTTTTTCATTTTTTGAAATTTTGTGGGCTATGGTGTTTTTAATTGTTTTTTACAACAATAAATGTAGAAGGATGAGCTTAAAATGAAAAAGAAAAACATGATAAAGATAGAATAAAGAGTAGAAGGACATCTACAACCATTAACCATTTAAATAAATAATACAAATTTTGTGGATCATTTTGTTGGAAGTAAAAAGTAATATCCACAAGTAATAATAAAAAAAAGGTATGCATTTTAATAATTTGATGAAATTAGATGTAATTTTATTATTTTTGGGCTCGATAGATAAAATAAAATGCTAATAATGCACTATATAGATTAGAAGTGATTTATGAAGCAATTTTGTATTATTTAGGATTGTATGTTGTTAATAAATAGGAAAGTATTGGAAAAATGATATTAACCTATTTTTTAGGTTTTAATAATTTTGTGGTAAATAAGCTTTTTAACCCCTTGCTTGGATATTTTCTCTTGGGAGGAAAGAAAAGAGAGGAAAGAAAGTGAAAGGAAAGAAAAAAGAGAGAAAATAAAACTATTCTTCACTTGTTGTTTGGATAAGAGTGGAAATGAAAGGAAAGAAAATGTACTTTTCTTGTTTGGATAATTGTAAAAAGAGAGAGGAAAGAAAATATATTATTGTATATTTACTATAATACTCACATGCTTATATTTCTATATTTAAATACTTATAATAAATTTGTATGAATATTTTTTTCATGAAAATAACACAGATGATAATAAAATAAAAATCTAGCATATAGCATCTATCCGAAATGATAAGATGGATAATAAATCGTCTACGTAGAATAATCGATAACTCGTTTATTAATTAATTAATTCAATAGCAAAAAAAAAAAAACAATCAATACAAAAAAGAAAATAGAATGACAATCCGAAATAATTTTATCTCATAATTTCTTAGGTTAAATGGCACAAACACTTCTTAAAATAATATATATATATTACTTTGAGCTATAAAATATTTTGGTTGACATTTATTGTGTTATATTCCATTCAATTTGGCCATCAAACATTACATGTAATTGAGATATTTTTCTTAAAAAAATCATTAAAAGGAGTAATATGAATTAATTTCTTAATGGTAATTTTATTATATCATAAATAATTTTTTTTATTATAGTATTAATAGAGGTAAAAATCTTAACCAAAAATTATTAAAAGGAGTACTAGGAATTAATTTCTTAATGGTAGACCCAACTCTTATCCAATTACTAAAATGCCCGCCAGTAAGGGCAGCCATGGAATTGACGGGAAAAAACAAATCAGTAAAGAATGAGGTTTTGCTCTCAGAGAGATGGATGGGAATGGTTTCTTCAGGGCGGTTGCCTCTCTCTCTCTCTAAATGTCTGCGAAGCCTATGATTTCACCATATGATAATCAATCAACAGCCCTGAGTTTGTGTGTATGAATATATATGAATGTATGTATAGCTTCTTGATGTTTCCTTTGGTAATTTCCATGCCTTTTCTTTTTCTTCTTCTGCACCTCCTTGCAGAGGCCGTGATGATAATTTTCCAGCAAAAATATGAGTCATTTTAAAGAAACCTTTCAATCATTTGGCAAGGCAAGTTAGGATTTCTCTGAGAAAATTACTGTTTTATGACTTTACTCAAAGATCCTTTTCTTGCAGCCATGGTTTTTGTGTTTCTTTTTAATTGTCTGATAAGTGGTACGGATTTGAGCCTCTCTCTTACAAGTAGATCTAACTTGATTTTTGCAGATTTGTTATTAATGAGAAAGGATGTACGAGGAAGAGATGAGAGAGAGAGATGATGTTTGCAGAGAAGGGAACGGCTAAGGCAAGGGCAAAACTATGAAAAACAAGAAAAACATTTCACCCCTTTCGTTTTTCTCTCTGTTTTCTCCCAATTTTAAAAAGAAAATGGATCTCACTATTTTTATATTGTTTATTTTTTTTTTTCTTTCCTCTGGTTTCCTCTACAATCCAAACGAGGAAATACTTTTATTTTCACTCCATTTTCTTTTCTCTCTTCCGTTTTCATCCCTATCCAAACAGGGGATAAGTCTCACAAAATTTTTGCAAAAAAGAGAGAGAATCAATCTCACAGCTTCCACTCAACTTTTAACTAGTAGGTCACTATGCTAGATGCTGCCACTACTACTGTCTTTGCCATCATCGCCAATATCATCGTCGTTTTGGCTGCTGCTTCTGCTGATACTGCTATAGCACTCAATATTGAGGCTATCATGACCTATACGGTCAATCTCATGGTGGGGTGACCAAGAACAATATTGATGGGCTGTTGATGTTGCTCGAGGCCAATAATGGGGAGAGGCTCCGTCTGTTGCCTCCCCGAGGAGGAGAAAAAACAACTGGCAGATAGTGGTCTATCTTCGCATGGGAACTTTGAGTTCTTGAAGTGCTCCTTCAACGCTTCCAACCCCAACCCCTTCATCAGTTGTGCAAACCATATATACTATACCCAAAATCTGACATATCTCTGTAGCGTGCTTTCCGGGCGTGGGTTTTTATACGTTTTGATTCCTCTTCTAAGTCCTTGCATTAATTGCATTTGATAAAATAGAAAACGACTTGACTCTCTTCTCGTTTCTTGAAATGACTTTTGTCAAATGCGTTTCATTACTCAAACAATTAAACATTAATTGCTCTTGTTTGGGTCCAAAAAACGTGCATAAGAAAATATTGATTATAAAATATTTTACACTTTTAACCAATAAAAAATAAGTTTTTAATTTTTTTATTCTGATTTAGATTTTTTTTCACAATTTCTAATGACTTTAAATACGTATAAGAAATCAAGTTTTTATTTTAATAAATCACGTGTATAAGAATATATCTTTTAAAATACTAATTAGTATTTTAATAAATCATGTATATCTTATGTGCATCTAATATTTTTGAGATTAATAAATGAGATAAAAAAATTTAATTATGAAAGATAAAAAAAATAAAAATTGAGACCCAAATTGAAATTAAAAAAGATTAAAAACATTTTTTCATGTCGGTAAAAAATTCAAAATGCTTTGTAATTTATAACCTAAAATTTCTTTGAGATGAGGTATGACAAAATCGTAATTTAGGTTCGTGTTTTGTAAACCCAAATTTTATTGTAATTGTTTTAAAGGATGTGTTTTGGTTAATTGATTATAGAATGCTTTGAACTTTTGATTAATAAAAAATAAGTTTTAATTTTTTATTCTAATTTAAATTTTGTGTTATATATATATATATATATATTTTATGTTCAATTGAACAATTTCAAACGACATCAAATATGCATGAAAGATAAATATTATTATTTTAATAAATCATGTAAATAGATCGCGATTCTTTCATGTATGTACACTATTATATAAAATTGAGAAAAAAATTAATTATAAAAGAAAAACAATTCAAAATCCAAATAAAAAACTTTAAGAATTTTTTTTTCTGTTCATAAAAAATTCAAAATAGTTGTTAGTTAATTACCCAAATTTCTTTGAAATGAGATGTGACAAAATTGTAACTCTAGTTCTTGTCTTGTAAAACCAATGCAACATACTGTTCATGGATAAGCACTAATCAAATCCAAAGCATATGTGAAAAGGAGGTCTCTTAACTTTTTCTTTTTTAGAATCAAATAGTTGGATACTCACGCTACGTTATGGGTAGACAACCGTTATATGCACGGGATTAACGATTTATATGATGTAATGTAAATAGAAAGTTTTATATTTATCGATTAATATAAATCGAATCTATATATAGTTAATTTCTAATATATATATATAACGGATTGATAGTATATAGAATAAATATAAAATATACAAAAAAAATTTATCTAAATTGTAGAAATATATTGAAGTTAATAGATTAAAATAAAAACAATAACAAAATTGATTCGAATAAATATATATAAAAAGCAAATAAAAATTGTAAATTTTTTAGCTCATTATTTTTTTTTAAAAAAAAGTCAAATTATCTAAAACATATTTTTAGCTCTCTCTCTCTCTCTCTCTCTCTCTCTCTCTCTCTCTCTATATATATATATATATATATATTAGAAAATAAAACACTCATTTAAAAATATAAAAATAATTTATTTTATAAATTATAATAAAATATTTTAAAAAAGAAAACATTGATGTTTTACAATTTTATCCCAAAATTCATATATTAAAAAAATAAATTTATCAACAAATAAAATTATATCAAAACAAATTTATTAACAAATAAAATTATATTAAAAAATTATTAGCCATTACAAATTTATAATAAAATCAAAAATTAAAAATGTTTCGAGTGGCAAGCTGTAACTTAAAAACTATATATATATATATATATATAAAAGAGAAAGCGATCAACCCGAGGTCAACCCGACAAGGAGAAAAAGAAAAAAGAGAACAGATTAATAGTATATAGAATAAATATAAGATATACAAAAAAAACCTATCTAAATTGTAGAAATATGTTGAAGTCAATAGATTTTTTTTCACAATTTCTAATGACTTTAAATATGTATAAGAAATCAAGTTTTTTATTTTAATAAATCACGTGTATAAGAATATATCTTTTAAAATACTAATTAGTATTTTAATAAATCATGTATATCTTATGTGCATCTAATATTTTCAAGATTAATAAACAAGATAAAAAATTTTAATTATAAAAGTTAAAAAAATAAAAATTGAGACCCAAATTGAAATTAAAAAAGATTAAAAACATTTTTCCAGGTTGGTAAAAAATTCAGATTGCTTTGTAATTTATAACCCAAAATTTCTTTGAGATGAGGTGTGACAAAATCGTAATTTAGGTTCGTGTTTTGTAATTTATTGTTTACAAATGGATTTTTTTTCTTATGTTCAATTGAACAATTTCAAACGACATCAAATATGCATGAAAGATAAATATTATTTTTTTAATGAATTATGTAAATAAATCGTGATTCTTTAACGTATGTATACTGTTATATAAAACTGATAAAAAAAATTAATTATAAAAGAAAAAATTCAAAATCCAAATAAAAAAATTTAAGTTTTTTTTTAGCGTTCATAAAAAATTCAAAATAGTTGGTAGTCAATTACCCAAATTTCTTTAAGATGAGATGTGACAAAATTGTAACTCTGGTTCTTGTCTTATAAAACCAATGCAACATGTTGTTCAAATCCAAAGCATATGTGAAAAGGAGGTCTCTTGAATTTTTCTTTTTCAGAATCAATGTCTTGACAGTAGAGAAAAAATGGATAATGGCTTTCATCCTAAATGGAAACTCTTGTTCTTATATGTGGCTTATGCTTTTTAAATTCTGTTATGAAAGTACAAAAATAAAATAAAACAATAAGTTCTTCATAATTTGGGATACTTAATGGTTTCTAAGAGGTGTTATTAATAAAATTGATTTAAATATTTGATGTGTGAATTATTTATTTATTTATTTTGCAAATATCCTTAATTACTTTTAATATTAATGTATCCGTATCCGTCTATCTTTAAAAATTGAGTATATTGTCTCATATACTATTTTAAGAATTTTTTAAACTTACATACATACATTTGATATCTTTTAAAATTAGCTAACACTACATAAAAAATTAATTAAACCAAAAAAATAAAAATTCAAATTAAAATAAGAAAACTATATATTTTTTTGTATTTGTTAAAATTTAAGTTTATGTAATTTTAAAATAATCACCGTGTCATAGGTAAATTATTAATTAGTCCATTAAGTTTTAAGAAACAAATTAATTAATCTCATTCGTTTAAAAATTATTATTTAATCATCTAATCATTGTTGATCATGATCAATTTAATATTATTTTTATTTTATAAAATTTTTTATTTTTTATTTCTTAAAACAAAAAATATAATAAATTAAAAAGAATTATAGGTTGATTTCAAAATACAAGACTAAATAATTAATTTTAAAAAAGAAAAAGGATTAATTAATTAATTTCTCAAAACGAGGGGACTAATTTATAATTTTTTCCCGTTTTGTCTTCTTTTATAAAAGGATGAAGAGTAGGGATGGCTATCCGTATACTCTCGAAGATCCTCCCTGCTGTCTGCTAATCAAACTCCCTTTAGAAACCCTAACTATCTCTCGTTTCTCAATGGCACCAAAACGTCCGCTCCCATTAAAAATCCACCTTCGCTTCTAGCTCGAAGAAGAAGAGGAAGAAACTTCCGAGTGGTGAAGAAGAAGAGGTGTCCGATGATGAACAAAGTCCACCCTCTCCTCCTCAAACACAAGCCAAAACCACTCGAACCCGAAAGCCAACCCCTAGAAAACCGGAACAACCTAACTAGATTGTCTCGACGACGAACCAATAAATACGGATCCGAATCGATTGCAGTTGCTACTTCGAAATCAACGACCATAAAGAAGTCCGAGGACACCAAAAAACGACTCTTTAAAAGGTTGTGGACGGAGGAGGATGAGATTACACTCGCTTCAAGGTATAATTCATTTTACCGCAAAGAAAGGTTATGGTCCATCAAAGGATATGAATGGGTTTTTGGATTTTATTAAGAAGTCGTTGCATTTTGATGTGTCTATGAGTCAATTGAAGGATAAGATTTTGAGGTTAAAGAAAAAGTTTGAGAATCAAGCGAAGGGGAAAAAGTTTACTATGTAAAGTCAAAGAAAACATTTTCAATGACTTTACGTCATAAGCATTGTAAAGAATGGATAACTATTAGCACTTAATTTTTTATCCTCTTTTATTTATTTTTCATTTATTATATTTAAAAAATAAAATACAAAAAAAGATAAAACGAAACAAAAATGCAAAATACAAAAAATAGAGAAAGAAAAGAAAAAAAATTACAATAGTCTAGTTTAGATTAATTCTAAGGAGAGGGTTAATTGAGAAAAATAAAGAATGGGAAATAATTAAAAAGATAATTGAGGGCTTAATTAAAGAATTCAAAGCTTCAATTCCTTTTTAAAATTAAAAAGGGTACAATTGGAACCAAATAAAATAAAAAGTCCCAATTATTGGCAATGGGAGGCTTAAAGTAAAACATAAAAAAAAAAAAAATTGAACCTAAAAAAATGCATGGAGGAAAATCAAGGACTCGAATTGGATTTTTGCCAAAAAACCTAAAAGCTTGCACGCTTTTCTTGGTATAAAACTATTGTTCATCGTCATCACCAAAGGGAAGACCCAATCGTCGGAAACCAAAAAAGCTTTCTCCCACGCAAAGCACAAAGGACATTAGCTCACCCTTATACACGCAACACAACCAGTGGCCATCCCTCACCCCACAAGCCAACGACCTCCTTCCTCTCACTTACCACACCAACACGGCCCCACTCACGCCCGGCGTCACCGCCTACTGACCCTCTCGCCCAAGCCACATGATGCACCGGCCTCTACGGCTCACTCGCTCTCACCCATAGCTCACTCCCACGCCCACCGGTAAGCCATCGGACGCGCGCGAGCTAGCGCACAACAAGTCACCGGGCGCATGCGATAGCCGACAACCACTCCACTAATGTACATGCCTTTTTCTTTGTGTGCTTGCCACCGGTAGTGTCGACTAACACGCAAGACCCTTCCAAACACGACCCCACATCCATCATTTTAGCTCGTGCATCGATCCTCCCTCTTATCCAAACTCCAGCCCCTAAACTCAACAACGGACACCCATTCCAGCCCACAACAAAGCCCTAAAGAACCCTAAAAACGAGCCCAAAATGGACCTAAAAAAACAATAAAAACCTCCAAAATCAGCCATGCAACTATTACCAACTCGTCCCTAAAAACCCTTGTAGAGAAACCACTGCGGGTAACCCTTTTAAACCACCAAAACAGCCACTAAAACACTAATAATCCATCTTTAAGATAGCCCCAAAATACCTTTAAAACACATCCCAAAAGCTGCCTAAAACCCGACCCAAACTAGCCACCAAAAATAGCTTTTACAACGTTGCAAGCTGCTACTAATAGCCTCTAAAAACCCTTACAGAGCAATCCTTTTGAACAACCCATTTGAACCACCAAAACATCTCCCCAAAACACCCTCAAACGTGCTTCAAAAACCCTTAAGAAACCCCTCACAACACCCTCCAAAACAGACACAAAACCTCCCTCAAAACGACCCATTGAACACTTTGTTTTTAGAGTTACTCGAAATGGATAAAATAAAAGTTATTAAAAAAAGAAAGGCTAAAAAGATTTTTTTTTTTTTTTTGTGTTGGATTGTTGGCAGCCATAATATGATGTTGTAGATTGCATCTTTTTGATAGAAAAATAAGCAACAAAAGCTACTTTGGGCTTTTAGAAACTACGAAAATTTTACAATAACTTTGGAGTGTTCACCCGAGTAACGAGAGAGGTTTTTGGTCACCTTAGCGGCACTCACACCCTCGCATTCTCAACCGGTAATTATCCTCCTTTTTTAGCTAATCAAATATTCGATTATCGGCGAGGAACGAAGATGGTAGGATTGACTGCGAATCTAATGTCGACACTTCGAGCTTTTTGGGTAAAAATCTTAAAACATGACATTTCTAAAAGTGTGATAAATGTTTTAAAATGACTATGTGCTTTAGAATGTGGTTAAAACTATGATAGTTAGCATAAATTTTATGAAATAAATGTGGTTAAAATGAAACATTACCGCAAAGATCATTAAGGAGCGAGTATGTCATGTTTTCATGTTATTATGCTCGTCTATCCAAATATAAAACGTGTCTCAATTTTTGTGCTTTAATTGAATTTTCATGATTGTTTGCAAAGCTACACTAAAGTCGTCAGTGGTTTCAAAATCATTTTTCCTAATATCTAATCCCTTTTTTTTTATTGTTTCTTGATTTCGTTTTTTGTCTTATTGCCTATTTCATCAAAACGAAGCTATTAGTGGATTCTCACTTATGTGATGAAGCCGTCAATAGCTTTGAAAATAATTTTTTTCATTTGATGCTCGTTTGTTTGAAACGAAGTCATCGGTGGCTTTTCACTTACATGACGAAGCCGTCGGTAGCTTCTAAATAGTTATCTCGCTCCTCGTTGGAGCGACATGAAGTTATCAATAACTTTCTACTTTTATGATGGAGTTATGGTAGCTTCTTAAACACGTGACTCGAAGTCTTCCGTGGCTTCCCACTTATGTGAGCGAAGTCGTTGGTAACTCGCAACTCATGCCAATAAAAGACTACTTATCTTTAGAAACTTATCTATTGTTAATAATAGGTCATGTTTGTTAATGACTAGCTTGAAATTCTAATTTTTCACCTTTTTTTCATTTAGGTAGGACGTATTGGCCTCAAACCGGCCTAAACATCCAAACTATCCTATTTTATACCCAAACCACCATGTCCCATATTTTTATAAAATAAACTCATTTAAATAAGCATAGAAGCATAACATGATAAAAACTAAATTTGTTATATTTATAGACAAACAATGCAGCCTACCTTAGGTAGAATGGGATGGTGGTGATGACATGTCTTTACTAGACGTAACCGACTCCTTACCTAGATATTCATGTAGATCAATACGTTTAGGGTTTCCTAGTTCTCCCCGATTAGCTAGGTGATGACTTCTTGTTTCGGCCTCCCTCGCGGTGGCCGAAGTCGACAATATATTTGATAATTATACCATGTAATTAAATTAATATTATATTGTATTAGTTAAATATTATTTTAAATATATTGGTATAATAATATAATATTTATGAATAAATGATTTATTTAAATATCAAATGACAATTGTTCCCCTTTTATATAAATATTTTATTTTTATATTTTTTTTATCATGAAATTAAGTGTGAAAATATAGAAAAAGATCATTATATATATATTTTTTAATTTTATGTATAGTTTGACATCAATAGAATATATATGATATTTTTTAAACTTTTAGTTTGAACATATATATCCGATTATATTATTTTTATTATTTAAAATTTATTTCTTCAATTGTTTGTTTCTTATAAAAATTCTCATAGAATTAGTTTTTAAATTTTATATGATTTTATTTGTTAATAAATTTGATTTTTTTATATATGGCTTTTGAAATAAAATTTTAGAACTCGATTATTTTATTTTTTAAAAATATATTATTATAATTTATATGATTGATTATTTTTATAATTTTTCAATGGAAATAATGTTGTTGCATATCTAAATTCTAAAGAGAAAGAGAGAGCTAGAAGTGTATTTCAAATATTATAATTATTCTAAAAAAACTAAGAGAACAAGGGTTTTCCCTGTTCATTTACTATAGCATTTTATTTATTTATTTTAGTGTCGGCTCGGAGAAGTGGGCTATAGCAGTTGGCTCGGCTCATTTCACTATAGTTTTATTTATTTATTTATTTATTTATTTTTATTTTTTTCATTCTAAGACTGGCCTAGAGAAGCATTTTTTTTTATAGAGCTGGCCTTGAGAAGCAAGCTCAAGTAGGCTCGCAAAAGCAATCCCAACCAACATTTGCCTTCTTTTTTTCCTTCTAATAATTTATTTTTATATTTTTTTATCATGAAATTAGGTGTGAAAATATAAAGGAGATCGTTATTTTTTTAAATTTTACGTACGGTTTTACGGTAATAGAATAGATATAATATTTTTAAAATTTTTAGTTTAAACATATATATCCGATTATATTATTTTTATTGTTTAAAATTTATTTTTTTAATTGTTTGTTTCTTATTAAAATTCACATTGAATTAAATATTTTATTTATATAATTTTATTTTTTAATAAATTTGATTTTTTATATATGGATTTTGAAATAAAATTTTAGAACTTGATTGTTTTATTTTTTAAAATATATTATTATAATTTATATGATTGATTCAGCAAATGTTGTACAAGTTAAGCGATAATATATCATTGGTTCCTTCACCGAGAAAGAAAACATATATATTATTAGTCTCTTCAATGTCCTTGAACCAATATTAATTTATTTCTTTAATTATTTGTTTCTTATTAAAATTATCATTAGATTAATTTTTAATTTTTTGATATAATTTTATTTGTTAATAATTTTGATTTTTTAATATATGAATTTTGGAATAAAATTTTAGAACGTTAATGTTTTATTTTTTAAATATATTATTATAATTTATACAATAAATTATTTTATATTTTTAAATGAGTGTTTATATATATATATATATATATATATAGAGAGAGAGAGAGAGAGAGAGAGAGCTAAAAGTATGTTTTAGATAGTTTGACTATAAAAAAATAGAATAACGAGTTAAAAAAATTTAAAAGTGTTATTTGCTTTTTTATATATATATTTATTTAGAATTTATCAGAATTAATTTTTTATTTTAATCTATTGGCTTCAATATATTTCTACAGTTTAGGTGAATTTTTTTTGGTATATTTTTCTATTTATTTTATATACTCTAAATCATATATATATATGAAAAATTGAACTCTAAAAATGATACAAAAGTAAATTAGAGGCCTTGCTGAAGCAAAGAGGAGAAATTAACGTTAAAAATTAGCTTTTCCAAAATACTCATTTATCTTTGTTTTTTTCCCACTCTTTCCTCTTTTGTCAATAATAAGCATACACAATGACAATAATAATAATAATAAATAATAAACAATAAACATATAGCGCTATTAAAACTTTAATTAAATTATGAAAAAAATTTTCTCCCATCTTAACTTATATCATTTATCCTTAATTCTATAGCTAGTGTAGCCTTGAGAAAATAAGGTTTCAGGGACATTTATTTAGATTTAATTTTCTGGGTTACTGGTGGTAATGGTGATAGAAGAGAATTAAAGAAAGAGAGAGGGATTGTAGTTTTTGAAGGAAGTGAGTTTTTTTGTGGTTGAAAAATCTTTGAAAGAATAAGATAAAAGAGGCGAGAGTGAAATAGAAAATAAAATGAATTGAATTCAGTAATAAAATATCTGTATAGACATATTAATTCAATTCATTTATCAATTAAATTCTATTTGAGTATTATAATTGAATTCGTTTCCACACCCCAATGCTAATTACCCTACCCGCTTAAAGCCTTATTGGGCCTGGCCATAATCTAACCAAGCTGACCTTCAATAATCCTGCGCAGGTCTATTGCCGACCCGATTAAAACCGGATCCACCCTCATCCTTGCTCAGCTTATAACCCCCAAAAGGCGGAAGAAATGATTCTGTTCTCTTCTCACACTGCCGTTGCTCTCTTCTCTCTCTTAAATCTTCGAATCAGCATCTCTAACGAGACCCTAAAAACCCTAATCTCTTAGAGTTTCAAATATGTTAGACATCAATTTGTTTCGCGAAGAGAAAGGCAACAATCCAGAGAAAATACGCGAGTCACAACGCCGTCGTTTTGCTAATGTCGAGATCGTAGATGAAATCATTCAGTTTGATAACGAATGGCGGCAACGTAAGTAACGGTCGGTTTACTCAATACAGCAGCAGTAGTCATTTGATGTCGTTTTTAACTGTTGTCTGATATCGTTTTCTTGTAGGTCAATTTGAGCTTGATAACTTACGTAGAGAGTTTAATAAGCAGAACAAAAGAGTCGCGCATCTTAAAATCGTAATTAATTAATAATTAAGTTTTTATTTTTTGTGTTTAATTTTTTCATTTACTAATTTAATTTGTTTGAAATTTATTTATTGTAGTTTAATTTTTATTAATTTTGTATTAAAAAAAAGGCGAAAGAAGATGCAACGGAAGCAATTAAAGATACTGAAGAGACAAAAAAATTGATAGCTGATAAGGAAAAAGAGGTGCAAGAGGCTAAAGATGCGTTGTATTCTAGATTGTCAACTATTGGTAATCTCGTGCATGATTCAGTGCCGTTTGACAATAACGAGGTGAGTGTATTCTTGTCTCTATTCTTGTGGGCGTATATATATATATATATATATATATATATTTTAATCCTTGAATGTTGGAATGATTGGTTAAAAATGTATGTTGTGTTTTTTGGTTGTTGTTATGTAGGATAATAATGCTGTGATTCGGGCGTGGGGGGAGAAGCGAGTCGAGAAGAAGTTGAGGAATCATGTTGACCTTGTTGAACTTCTGGGAATTGCGGACTTGAAGAAAGGTATGCGGGCATTTCCATATTGCTGCCTCTCTTTAAATTGACTGACACATGCAAAATTGTGTCCAAAATGACCGTCATTAGGATTTGGATTGGATGACGTATGGATTATAATTTATGTTACCTAGTCTCTTGTGACAAGGGTTTTATGTCAGGCATGAGGGTTTAGTTATTGGGGATTTTTGTGTATGGTGTTGGTCAGATGTGTTAGATTTATAGATGTTTGGTATGATTATTATCAGCCCTTGAGCCTAATCAATGGAGCTTGATGATCTTAGCTTATTGTTGTCTAAACCTTGTGGCTCCATCATTGCTCACTGGTTTATGAAGCTGGGCTTTTGACCTTGAGGGGCTCCCAGTGTAGAGTAATCAGTCCCGATGGTTCATTTTCATAATGAACCATCAAAATCACATTTCCCTTGTTGTCTATAGCCTGTAAAAAGAGTAGTTTGGAATGTCTTGATGCTTTAGCATGTGAAGTTTACGGTAATATGGATGTGCTGGAAATGATTAGGTGCTGATGTAGCGGGAGGTAGAGGCTTCTACCTCAAAGGTGATGGTGTCCGACTTAATCAAGCATTGATCAACTTTGGCCTGGAATTCTTGGAGAAAAGGGGGTACACGGCCTTGCAGACACCCTTTTTTATGAGAAAAGATGTCATGGCAAAGTGTGCCCAGTTAGCACAATTTGATGAGGAGCTTTACAAGGTGAGTTTTAGAAAGTACTAGTGCATAAACATATTATCTGAAAGCCTACATTTTGAACATCTCAAATATGTGAACAAAAGCAGGAAAGGAACCTTTGAGTAACTGCTGCAATTCTCTCCTTATCACACCTTGTAGTTGATGTCCAGATTATGAGATACTTTACTTCACTTCTTAATATCTTAGCCTTTCTCCTCGTTACCTTTAGCTTTGGTTCTGTAGATTTTCTGTTGGGATCATAGAGGTACTTTAATTGTATGAGTGGTATTCCCCAAACATCTGCTTTCATGCCTCTAACACATTCTTCTATTAGGATTGGAGGGCCAATTCCTTGGTAATGACTGTCATTGGTCTGGTTGTGATGCATTTACATTATTAAACTAGTTGTTGGTTACCATGTGCATTTGGATTTTGCTTAATATGAGAATGCCATAATGATTTTATGAGTGATCCATGCTGTTAACGTTCTAAGCCTGCAGGTTAGATGTGATGAATTCTTATACTTTGTGCTAGTAGCATTTAATTTTATTAAATATCATTATTCTCTTGTATTTTTTTTAATTATTATTTTATTTTATTTTTTGCTGCAGTCTAGTGTGGTTCTGTTTTTTTGGGTATGCATTGGTGCCCTGTCTTTCTTTTTTGGTTTGTTGAAGTTGTAGCATGCTTAATGTGCTAAATGAAACCTTGTTTTCCCGCTTCTACTTTCTTACTCACTCCACCCTCCCAGTCTTCCGTAACATGTAAAAAATAAAGATAAAAGGAGGAAAATAAGATCAAAACTCTTATTCAAGCTACTCTGACAAATCAGGAAAAAGGAAGCCCAAAGCATTGTAGTTTGATTTTTTGGTCTGTCTATATCCTTATTTATGCTGATTCATTCATAGTGTTTTTCATCTTATGATCATACAAGTCCCTTTATGTATGGATGTGTGCCTGCAGTGAATGACAGTGATAAATGACTCTAGATTCTATATTGACAATTTTCTTGATGTTCAACAGGTTACTGGTGAAGGAGATGACAAATATCTAATTGCTACAGCTGAACAACCACTATGTGCGTATCATCTAGATGATTGGATCCATCCTACACAGTTACCAATCAGGTTATAATAACTGTCTAGGGACTAGTGCTTTTAATGGACAAAATAACCATGGCTTTTTTTTTTGTCGCACTAATTTCATATTTTTCTAGATATGCTGGGTACTCATCTTGTTTCCGCAAAGAGGCTGGTGCACATGGTCGTGATACTCTGGGCATTTTTAGGGTTCATCAGTTTGAGAAAGTGGAGCAATTCTGCATTACTAGCCCAAATGGCAACGACTCTTGGGAGATGCACGAGGAAATGATCAAGAACTCTGAGGAGTTTTACCAGGAGGTTTGATATTGTCTCTTGACTTTTTTTTTTGAGGAAAAATTCTAATCTCTTTGCCAATTAAACGGCCATCTCCTAACCTGCTGTGTACCCCCTAACAACCCAGCCCTACCCCATACTCCCTCTTGCCCTTTCTGATGTGCGCGCTCCTCGCTTGAAAGAAGTGTTCTAACAGTTGCCTCATTTTTCAAACAGCTCAACATCCCTTATCAAGTTGTTGCAATTGTTTCTGGTGCTCTCAATGACGCAGCAGCAAAGAAGTATGACTTGGAAGGCTGGTTTCCCGCTTCAAATACTTACAGAGAGTTGGTCTCCTGTTCAAACTGCACTGACTACCAGTCAAGAAGATTAGAAATTAGATATGGGCAGAAAAAGGTAATATTTCTATATTTATGTGTCAATATATCAAAAGAAAAAGCTTATATCAGTTTACACAGTTTTTGTGGATTCTTTTCCTTGTACTAGGTCAATGATTTAGGTTATTAAAAAGGCTACAGAAGTAAATAAGCTTAGTTAGAACTGATGAAAGTTTTTTGTTTTTTCCTGAAAGACACTGATCTGGCTTTTAGTGAAGAGAAAAGAAAATCTCAGACTGTAAGAATTGCTGAAATCATAGTTCTACCACTGCATATAAAAATGCTCCCAATTTAAAATGAAAAAAAAAAAAATCCCAATTGAAATTGGAAACACGTTGTGTAAAAGAATGCTGTCGTTTCTTTTATAGAAGGTTGAATGAAAGTCCTGTTTAATAAACATTGTTAAGTTTCCAGATCTGAATTGTGCATGGCAAATAAAGCCCTCTTCCTCATATTTAAATATATTATCTGAATCTTGATAGCTTCTAAGATTTTGGTTAATTTGTGTTTGATTGCAGAGCAATGAGCAGGTAAAGCAATATTGTCACTTGTTGAACTCTACCCTTACAGCAACTGAGAGGACCATTTGCTGCATCCTTGAGAACTACCAGAAGGAAGATGGTGTAGAGGTTCCAGAGCCCTTGCGAAAATATATGAGCGGCAAAGAATTCCTACCTTTCCAAAATAACCCATCTACTGAAGGCAAGGGGAAGAAACCAAAGGCCTAGTTTTCTTATCATTTCTAACGTTCTGCAGGCTTCACGTTGATTATTAACATTTGGGAATTTTGATTTGACTTATTGATCTGCAGTAAGACTTCCAGCAAGATATATCTGTAACAATGTTATTTTTTGGGATTGTGTTAGGAGTTTTTAACTCTTTTTTTTTTTTTTTGGCAATGAAAACGAACTTTTCCTTTGCACATGTTGAGAGAAAATGGCAGTGTTGGTATTGGTTATTTATGAGCAAATTCTATTCTTACTGAAATATCTAAGCCGAATCAAAATATGTACCTTTAATATGTAGGATCCACCATATAAATGGTTGAAATTATTTGGAAAAGCTAATTCAGCATGAATATTTTGGGATGAGCGTGATTGTTCCTTACTGACTTTGTTAGTGTTGCCCTCAAAGATGAGAAACATAACTGCATTTTCTTGTTGTTTAACTTGTCAACGTTGTTGGATTCGTTCAAAGTTTAGTCTCCGTTGGATTAATGTTTCTAGTAAAAATTTAATTTCATGCAATGTTTCAGAAAATCATTGATGTCATAACTTTGTTTAGCAACATAACACAATGTCTTCATGATTTTTTCATTAAAGATATTGAAGTCATTAAAAATGCCTCTCATCCATGCCTTATTGCCAATTTACCCTCTCAAAATAGCATATCCATCGAACGAAATTACCACAAATTCAATGGGAAGTAATTCGATAAAATCAACATCGTTAATTCAGTGGTAGGTAGTCCGATAAATTCAACATCATTCATAGTTTTATCGCATTCAAAACTAGAGTCTACGTATTCAAAATCTTGAACCAGTTCTCCTAATAAATAAATAATGCAATCATGGAATAAAAGAAAAGAACATATTTGTCTTCCAACTATCACTTGATTCTCAATTGGGTGCCCCAATAAAATTTAATTGGATTCCGATCTATAAGAAAGTTACCAATTAACTAATCCTTAAGACAAATAGGTCTTCAATCCTAATCTTTAATGATTTTAAAGGTAAGAATTTCAAGGTCGGCTGGTGGGGCCAATTAGGCAACGTCCAATAGAAAGAAAAATCAAATGAACCCCACCTGCAAATACATCCTCCTTTAAAATATGTGAGAGAGAGAGGGAGAGCGTCATTTCCGTGTCTGATTTAATTGGACAGTTCTCTCTCTCTATGTATCTTTAGAACAAAAGCGAAGAAATGGTTGACCCCATCCTTAGCAAGGTTCGTTTTGTTTTACTTTTTCTCGGTTTGATTTTTTTTTTTTTTTTTCATTTTAGAAAGATTTTTTTTATATTGATTGAAACCCACCCAGCTGCTAGAATGGATTTTTAGTTGTTATTCTTTCAGAAAGGCTTGATTTTAACATGAATTTATAGTACACAAGAGAGGTAAAAGGAACAAATACTGTAGGTAAAGCACTAATCTTTAACAAATTATTTTGTTGCTTTTGATTGAACTTGTATCGTGTGAACAAAAAACTGGATTAGTGATGTAAGGATTGTCAAGATAGAGATTAAAATGGTATGCATGATTCGCAGGGTTTATTTTGCATGCTTTTGATAAATACTGCCACTGTAATTTGCATGTAATGTAACATTGAGTATTTATTAGGAGCAGGATCCTGGTTATCATTATTGGGAAAGAAGTTTTATTGCAAAGGGTTTTGAAATTTTGAGAGACAAAAGGAAGTTGAGAGCTAGTGATGGTGTTTTTTTTTTTAATTGAAATATAAAGTGAGCTAACTGATTTAAGACTGTTGAAGTAGTTCTAGTTTGGAAATAGTTTAAGTGTGTGTAAATGGAATCAGTTATTGTAGTTTTTTTTACCTGAATTTGGTAAAGATCAGGGTTCTCTTGATTAAGTAATTCAAATTTTTTAAGCTGTTGTTTTTGTTGTATTACGTAATGGAAAAGAAAAGTAATGCTGTTGCTTTTCATTTGGTATTCTTTTCTCATATATACAGGAGCATTTAGTAACAGTGGTTAGTGAGGATCACGAGACATCATGTTGGGGGTGTGGGTTGCGTCTTCTTCACCCTGCTAATGCATCTGTTTTCAAGTGTGGCTGGTGTGGGGCAATAACGGATAATTACGAGCTGAAATGTGATCACAAGAATTATTGGTGGAGACACATGCGTGACCGATGCTTTATATGTGTCCTCATTGGCTTCATTCTCTTTGTAATATGTATGTCCGAGTAATTTCTTCCTTCAAACTTAAAAACCATCTTTCTCCCTCCCCCTTGTACTGAACCTGTTTCTAAGTATTTCTTTTTGTAGAACTTATAGAAAGAGGATTGAAGCAATTTTAACTTTGGAAAGTTAAGGGGAAGTTTTCTTTTTGTTGCTCATTTCCTATTTTTTTTCAACTTGCATTTGACTTTTCATCATGAATTTGAATTTTTATTCTCACATCATTAAATTTCATCCTAAAGACTGCATTTCTCTTTATTTACCTTTATCTGCACACACACACACACACACACACATATATATATCTGTTGATTTCAGAATTAATCCAGAAACATTTCACCAAACCTTTTCTGATTTTCTGCTTTTAATATCTTCATAGCTTTTATCTATTTCATCTTGATTCAATTTCTGAAAGTGCAGGTGGTGGTTTGTGGGCAGTGTACCCTGTCGTTTTCTCTATCAGTTATTTTTGTGGGATTTTCCACCTAACCATAACAGGTATCTTGTCAATAACTACTTTATCACTGTTCACTCTTGTGGCCTTTAGAAGTGCTGGAACACAACCTATGATAGAGTGGGGTAGCTACCCAGCTGTGGGAAAAAATCAACTTGAGAACTACACCTTTTGTCGCTACTGTTTAAAGCCAAAGTCACCGAGAACTCATCATTGCCGTACATGTGGAATCTGTGTACTGGACATGGATCATCACTGTCCTTTTGTAAGTGTTCATTATAGTTAGAATTTAGTAATATTTTAATAATCTGGAGCCATGAATGTGGAATCTTGTTAATGCATGTTATTTATTCTCTTGGAATTGTAACTTCCTACTAGTTCTACTTGCAGTCCCTATCTTAAGTTTATATTTTTCCTGGATTGGAAATTCGTCTTCAGTATTGACTTGGTATGATCAAGAAGAAGTCGAATGGCCTTTCAAACATAGGTTGTCGTCTTTCCTGTCCCTATATAAATTTGTATCAGTCCAACATCTTATTGCATTGCCAAACAAGATAAAAAAACAAGATGAAGATGAAAATAGACTGGTCTTTAGTACATAAAGATATCCATAATTACTGTACAAGTTCATATTTAATTTTCCGAAGGGTCTCAAAATTAATTTTCTATGCTCAAGCTAATGTTACAGTTTCGAACTATGTTTGTGACTTGTCAGGCTTTGGATGCCGTACAGGGTTCTGTTTAGTGCATGCAATGAGCAATGGCAACTAAGTAATGGATACAATGAATAGGGTTTCTACTCACCTCTTTCCCCTCTGCCTGCTATTAAGCACTGCAATTAAGAGGACTTCGTTTTCAGATCTTAATAATTGGTTAACGAGTTAAATTGCCATATATTCTTATCTATTATTAGTACCACTTTATTTGGTTGCCAAGTTTATGATGTTTCTCATATTTTTCCATTTTAAACACTTTTTAATTGCCTTTTCTTCTGTTTCCTATGCCTTGTATTTTAGTGTATATCTTACGTGGATGCACTTATTAGCATGCATCTGGATACTCACTGTCTTCAGCTTTCAGGGTCTACAGTTGAAAATGACACTTTTAATAAAGGAGGGAGTTAGTTAAACTTCATGAAGGCCTTCATGTTCAGTTTTCCTTCCCGTTTTAAACCTGAGCTAAATGAACTTATAGAATTTTGAGAACCTAAGGATGAAATGCTATCATTAAGTCAAATTAATTGAGAACCTAAGGATGAAATGCTATCATTAAGTCAAATTAATTACAGAGGGAGTAATAATTGATGCGCAGTTCGTACTTCATATTGAAGTGATGACTTGAAAGTTAGCTTGCTGGACTGGCTACCTTAGGCCTTAGCTATACATGGATTGTGTCATGGATGTTTGATAGGTTGTTATTTTTCTATCCAGTGTGCAAATTGGGTCATTATTTTGTCCGTTAAATTTCCCATGCTTTACAAATGTTCGGTTACCTTAAAAAAATTTTTGAATTTTATACTACGCAGCATGGCAAAAACAATAACTATGCCTTTGTAATCTTTGTGCAGATTGGAAATTGTGTTGGGGCAGCAAATCACAGACACTTCATTGCATTCCTTATTTCAGTTCTCGTCAGCACAATCTATGTTACAATCATGTCTGCATATATCGGTTTGCGTATATGGCCGCCTCTAACACACAGATACCTAGACCATTTAAGTGCGAGCAGCAGATCTTTGCCGTGGAGAGCATTGCAGGATGTTTTTATTGCATTAATAAGCTCTGCGATGCTACTATCCACAAGAGGGCTTGTTCTTGTGTATCTTTTTGTTTCGAGTATTTCTTTAGAGATTGGAATAAGCGTTCTACTGTGGCAGCAGCTCTGCTATATATACGAGGGACAAACTTACTTAAGCAGCTTAAGTTTGAGGGGAGGTGACGAAGCTGGAGAAAAAGATTGCAAAAATATTTTCCTTTTTTTCGGCTGCCCATATCCGGTTTCAAGATTATTGCCGAATTTCTGGAATTCACCCAAGAGACACAAGAAGTGAAATGGATCTGTTTTTTTGTGCTGAACCTAGGGAATCGGTTCCGATTCTTTTAGAAACTTTAAGAGTCTTTTGGGATCAACGCTTACGCCGACTTAGTCTAGACTCTATTTATTTGCCATTTTGATATGGTAACATAGGCAGCTGATACTGCAATTGGATTTTAGTGTATCCTTATCACAGAATATAAGTGAGAAGACGAATAGATAGGGAAGGTTCAATTTTTTTTTTATTTTTTTCCCCCATGTTCTAGAGTCTGCTTGTAGGGTGGTCTTGTTCCTAATCCATGGTTTGTTAATTTCGCTTTACAAGTTTTATTAATAAACTATATTATCCTTTTTTTTTTTAATATAATTGTGGAATATGTCTAATATAATTAGGAGAAAATGATGCTAATTACGTGAGAAGGATACGCCATCACAACTAGTAGATATAAATTGGTCAAAGTTTTTACTTTATTAAAAAAAGAAAAAGAAAATCGACGAGACCAGAGTTGATTTGTTGATTGTTGGGAGTGGATTTAGACCACTACAGAAAATTGAGGGGCTATTATGCCACCACAAAATATGAGGTATATTTCTCAAGCCAAATCTTGCTAGAATTCACCCTCCCCTCAGCCCCCCAATCCACCTGGAGGGGGTGGCTTCGTTGGTGTTGTGGCGTGGCTTCTTTGAGTAAATTATAAGTTACTTCCTTAATTTTTAAGAAATGAATTAATTAGTTTATTATTATTATTTTAAAAACTAATTATTTAGCTTTTTAATTAATATTGAATATATTTAATTTAATATTATTTTATTTTTAAAAAAATGTCATATTTTTTCATCAATCCTCCCATTTTTTTACTTATTTTTTTTCTATTTCTTAAAATAAAAAATAAAAAAAATTGTTAAAGAATAAAAAAAAGATTCAGTTATAAGAAAATTAAATAATTAATTTTTGAAATAAGAAGCATTAATTAATTTGTTTTTAAAAAATAGAGGGATTAATTCATAATTTACTCCTGTAAGTACCACATACAAAGTAGAAAAAAGTTGTTATCCTTGAAAAAAAAATAAGGAAAAAAATAATAAATAAAATTTTGTTATCTGTAGACAATATTCGGCAGTGCTAGGTTTCTCATTGCATAGAATGAATAATGCTAAATATTTTTTTTAAAAAAAAAGGTGACTAGAAAAAAATTTCAAAATCTCATACTGGCCGTTGAATCATGATTTTAAAATAAGATTTAATTGTACTTTCTATTAATCTAACGTAGATTTTGGTCCATGTATTTTTTTTTTGGGAGTTTTTTATGATCATAAATATCATTATTCAATTAGACCACGTGTCTTAAAATTTCTAAAATGCATGTCATAAGCATGTTTGGTTTAGTGTAAGTTTGGAGAGAAAAATAGGAGAGATAATTCTTTTTTAAAAAATTAGATAGTTAAAATAGAGTTCCATCCAAAAAAACTTAAGTTTAATAGTGGATGATCTCTTTTCAATTTTATATATTAATCATCTTTGATTTTTATTATTCAATGCGAGATATGTTTTCTAACACTATCTCTCACTTGAGACTCAAGAGGGTTGGCTTGACTCTTGAGTGAAAGGGGTTCTAAACAAGTGATTTCGGGTTTGAATCCTCATGTATCTCGCATGTTTGGTTTAGTGATTAAGTTTGGAGAGAAAAATAAGAGAGAGAATTTTTTTTTTAAAAAAAATTAGATAGTTAAAATTGAGTTCCATTAAAAAAACTTAAGTCATATAGTGGTTGATCTCTTCTCAACTTTATATAGTAATTATCTTTGATTTTAATTATTTAATACGAGATATGTTTTCTAACGCTATATCCGACTTGAGACCCATGAGAATTGGTTTGAGTGGAAGGAGTTTTAAACAAGTGGTCTCGGGTTTGAATTTTTGTGTATACAAAAAACTTTATGAGTAGCTATCCTCGTCTTGTGAGCCCAACGAACGGCGAGAGATTAGTCCGAATTTTTAAACCCAGGATACCCTAGAGGATCCAAAAAAGTGGCTAGGGTTCTAGAATTTTTGTTGGATTATAAAGCCTCTTTGAGGCTATAATATAAAGTTAGATAATTGAGATTGTGTTTTATCTAAAAGACTTAAGTCTTATGGTGAATGATTCGTTCTCAACTCTACTTCTCACTAAAGGGAATCTCATATATAGAAGAAACTGATCCCGAGAGCTTATTATTGGATAGATATAAGGCTGCCAAATTAGAAGGAAAAAAAAGTGGTAAAGGACCATCAAAATTGTTTGAACTTAAATCAAATGCAATGTAAGTAGTATACTTTGATGAAAAATTTGGCAACATTCCACACATCTGATTGTGAGAAATGTTTAAGAAAACAAAAATGGGAGATAAATCCCAAAACTAGTCGGGCGCAGTATCTGAAATGCTAACACTAGAGATTTGAAACTGAGAAACATTGGTTTGAGTCTGAAGCCATTATAAGTAGCAGGAATTGAGAAGTAAGGTTTTCAAGGGGAAAGGCATTTGAAGTTGATCCTTCTAACTAGTTCCAGCAAAGGTCCAGATAAACAAGGCTATCATTGAAATTATGTAACCAAAGGTATATTGAAGAAGTAAGATCAAGGACTGCAAGAAATTTAGAACAATTGGTAATTGAGAGAGAATGAGAAACCATAACGGAAAGATTGCAAGCTCTCAAGTGTAAGGTTTTCAGGTGAGGCAGACTGTTAACCCCTTGAATCCAGTCACTAGCCTTACCAAGTCCACTCTAACTCAAGAAGAAAGATGAGATAACCAATCAAGGCTTTCAAAATATACATTAAGAAAATCTTAATAATAAAAATACTAATTAAAGGATATTTTAAAAAATATTAATAATGAGATGATTTTAGAAGTAGAAGGTGTTTTCAATTAAAGACACATATTGATTCTACTTTTTTTTAAAAAAATGATGATTTTTTAGATGAAAAATTGCATGTTTCATTTAAAGGATAGCAATAATGTATATATGGATAATGTTAATAGCAAAAAATAGCAATAATGTATATATGGATCTTAATTAAATTACATAGTATTTTTGTTTATGTAAAAAAATATGTAACATGTGGATTTTTTTAGTTATATTATTTTAAAAAATATATATGTACCAATTAAAGGATTCATTAAATTATACAATATTCCTATTTATTTTAATGTTTTAGTTCTTGGTTTTTTTTTTAGTTAAAAAATTTATGTTTTATCAATGAAAGAATCCATTTTTTCCATTAATTTATTTTAATTTTTTTTTTTATCAAACAGTTGTTAGTGTTAGAAGAAAAGGAGAGTCAAGCTTAACACCTACTAAGATAGAGAATGAATCTGACCATTATACAAAAATAAGTTGTCAATTTTGATCACCTCATATGGAGTGTAAACAAGTTCAGTTCTTAACATTTGATGAGAATTGAACCCATGGCCATTGTCTGTGAGATAAAGACTCGTTGAATAATAGAAGTTTTAAATTTGAATTATATTATTGACATTAATTTTAATTGAAATATCATAATGATGAATCATCAAATATTTAAGTAAATCCAAGGGTTTAGTTTGGTGGTTAGGAATTCATTTTGTTCGGTAAACAAAATTATTAATTAATTCCTTTAGTTTCGGTAAACAAAGTAATTAATTTCTTTTTTCAAAAAAAAAGTAATTACTTAGTCCTTATATTTTATTTCTTTTAATTTAATCCTTTCATTTTTCTTTTTTAGAAATAGAGAAAGAAACAATTATGATTAAATAATATGAAAACTTGATGGAAAAAAAGGATTGTTTTTTTAAAATAAAGTAATATTAATTAAGTAAGATCAACACTGTTAAAAAGATTAAATGATTGGTTTTTAAAAGAAAAAGGATTAATTAATTTATTTCTTAAAAATAGTGGGACTAAAATATAATTTACACTAAAAGCAAAAGACAAGAAAACTTAGGGTTAGGCTTAGAAAGTTACAACCTTTCCCTCAGCCGCTCTTTAAGAACAAATGTCCTTCTGTCTGTGTCTCCTGTCTCTCTCCAAGATGTGGAAACACCAAGCACTGCTTTCTCCAACTTAAATTAGATCTAATTCCAATTTCTGAAGAAACACGATAATGACGATGATGATATTGTTTCGCCCGAAAAGTTCTCATCCTTCTTCTTCAGCCTCAGCTGTTCTCAAGTTTCTTCTTCAACAGCAAATGGGTATTTCTACTTTCAAGAGCAGCAATGTATGGTTTGAAAACATCGATCATGCTCGAGCTTCCTTTAATGTCATGCTTCTTAGGAAACCTCGGCCTTCTATTTTTGAGTTTTGTAAATTGTTGTCTTCAATTGTTAGAATGGGACATCGTCAGTGTGATGAAGAAGAGGCAATGAAACATTATGAGACTGTCATTTTGTTATCCAGGCAAATGGAACTTGTTGGAATCCCTCTTAATATTTATAGTCTCACCATCTTGACTAATAGCTTCTGCCATTTGCGTCATGTCAATTTTGGTCTCTCTGTTTTCGGCAAAATGCTTAAGCTTGGTTTGAACCCTGGTATTTTAACATTTAATATCTTATTGAATGGGCTCTATAAAGAGGGAAAAGTGGATAAGGCTCGGATGTTGTACGATGATATGCTGCTGCTAGGGTATCTGCCTGACGTATACACTTTTAGTATGATAATCAACGGTTTCTGTAAAACTGGGGAAATGGATGAGGCTGTTCGATTTCTCCATGAAATGGAAAACAAAATAGGTTGTGCTCCAAATGTTGTTATTTACAATCAAGTGATTGGTGGATACTGCTTGCAGGAGCAAATGGATGAAGCCAGGAGAGTATTTGATATGATGGTTAGTAAGGACATTACACCTACTGTTTACACTTACAGCATCTTAATCAATGGATATTGTAAGATTGAAAGGATTGACGAAGCCATGCATCTTCTTGACGAAATGGCGAGGCAATGTTTAGTGCCTGATGTAGTTACTTATACTACTTTGATAAGAGGCTTGTGTCTGGTTGGGAGACCTTGGGCTGCGCAGCAGCTTTTCAGATACATGCGTGATCGTGGAGAAGCTCCAAATATAGTAACATACTCAACTTTGATCCAAGGGTTCTGCCAATTGGGGAATCTTGATGAGTCATTGGTACTGTTGCAAGAGATGCAACGGAGTGGTTTGAAGCCTAACTTGGTGATCTATACTGTCCTTATTGATGGAATGTGCAAGTTTGGGAATATTCAAGATGCAAAGGAGCTGTTTTCTAGACTGCCTGATGAAGGGTTTCAACCTGATGTTTATACATACAATGCATTAATTGGTGGACTTTGCAAACAAGGATTAATAATTGAAGCACACAAACTTTTTAGAGAAATGGAAAAGAATGGCTGCTATCCCGATGAATGCTCTTATTATGTTATGATCCAAGGATTTCTCAAACACAATGATCCATCAATGGCAGGGCAGTTTGCCGAACAAGTGGTCAATCGAGGTTTCTCTCAAAATGCAGCCGCCAGAACCTTGTTGAAAAAAGACGAAGTTTTGTCCACTAACAAACAGTCCAGCTCAAAAAATTTAGCTCTGTGAAAATCTCTGAGTTGTAAAGCTGAGGTAGGCTTTGAATTTTTGGTGCTTCCTTGATTGATATTAGTGGTAGATTCTATTACTGTTGGGAACATTTCGTTATATTCTATTACCGTTGGGTTATGTTATGGCTTTGCTTCCTTCCTCTTTTCCACCATAGCCTTGTTGGTGCATTTAACTACAAATGATGAGAATTATGCTCTAGAAAATTTACTTGAGCTCCTTGAAAGCCATCAAGGTGTAAAGTTGAAGTGTGCTTTGAATATTTGACGATGCTTTGACTGATGCAGCAAATTAAGGGTTGATTCTATTACCATGCAAATTTTGTCTCATTTGATTTAACTCCGGGGCCATTTCTACCACTAGCATTCCTACAATATTTGTCCTCTATGGAGTTGCATTGATATGATATTTTGGTTGCCTTATAAACAATTCTGCTTGAAACAAACAAGAAATTTTGACTGTATTTATTGACACCAAAGAAACTGAAGGGCTATGTTTGTGTGTGTCTTTGCGTGAGTTTTTGCCGGACTAAACACGGTATTTTGAGGGTTTATCTTGTGTAATTTGTAGCATAATTTCTGTCATGGGTATTTTTGGTCCCTAAATCATTTGGTTGATCTTGATGGTCTAGGTGATATCAGTTTGGATAGTTTAAGGATTATATGCAGCTTGTTTTTTTTCTCAACTGGTCATGCAAGTCTCATCATTGCTTAATTAAGAAAATTCTATAAACTGGAGGGACACATCCATTAATTGGAATCTGCTATCATAACCATTTTCTGATTTTTGACCTATTGCTGTAGAAACTAGCAACAAAATAAGTTTCTCATTCAAATGCCCGTTTGAGGTAACCTTAGTATCCCGTAGGCATTACCATCACAACTTGTATTTGCTTCAGTCTTTCCATTACACAATATTGACATTCCTTTAATCCATATGCATTTGCCCTTTCATTTCTCCATATACATTTGCCTTTTCATTTCTCTATCTTTGATCTCTACTTCAGTTTCACTGTCAGCTATACTATCGGTTGACATTGCTTGCTTAGTTCTTGGGACTCATATTTACAATTTTGTTTTTTATATGCCTGGAAAATATCTCATCAACATCATTTTAGCAATTCTTAATAGAAAAAGGTGCTGATTTGGGTTGCAAGGGAAGTTGAAAGAACACTGGTTTAGTTAGACAAGTTTCATTACACCATTCTGGGTGTCCTGCTGCATTGCAGGCTTGAAATGTGAAATTTTATGTGCTGATTACAAATTAGTGGTACACTACTAATCTCTAAAGGCAGTATCAAATTGATATAATGATTCAAGTTTTTGCAGCTTTCCTTTTCATCATATGATGATTTCATGATCTCATTATTGATTTCACATTTTTTTTCTTTTTTTCATTTTGTATAAAAACTCAAATAGATAATTTTAGTAGAAAATTTAAGTCATGTATTTTGAAGGATTGTTTCATATCATCTATGGTTTTAGTTTTCTGTTTTCAATTATTATTTGCCAAAGAAAATCCTATGCACAACAACAACAAGCAAAGCATAAGCTGATTGATGGCTTTCAATCATGGATATTCAAAAAGCGAAAGTACCACAGCAACAACAATAGATGAAGAAAAAAACATAAGCTAGCATAAGATTTCCACAACAAGAGTAAAACCTGAACCATTACTAAAAATCAAAGAGTATGAATGTGTTGACCACAGGGAATGCTATCCTAATTCAATAAAGATGTGATTGTTTTACTCATTTTACCTATCAACTATATTAACAATTAACAAAAAAAACTAAAAGAATAAGACTTGTGACTGTTCATTTAGACTCAGATTTACTGTGGATGTACTGTATGCATTCCTTCTGTCTTAACCGTTTGTTCTTCTTCATCTCTTTTTGTTTGTTTGATTTGCTATGCACACTTCTCTTGGGTTCTCCTCCTTTAGATGGTTCCCCATCGTTTATGCCATTTTTTGAACCTTTGATTCCTTTTGTTTTGTAATCTAAACCTATCATTTCCCATCTTTATCCTTTCCCACTACCACAACCCATTCAATTTTCTCTTCCAATTCTCCTCTCTTGCTTTCCACTCCTATTTCTCATCTTCCAGAGCTGCGACAGCCCAGCACCGACCATCAGCCACTCATCACCACTACAACCTGCCGCACCACAGCCTGCTCACTGAGCCAAAGAACAGCTCCCTCACAACCATCGATCTCTTTCTTTGCTGCCTCACCTCCCAACAGCAATACCCTCAACTGCCGATCACCACTTGAAGCCAGCACCCAGCCGGGGAACCTACTGCACGAGAAAAAGAATGCTTCACCTGAGTTTTGCAGGTGCTGGGTCTTTTTTGTTCTAATTTATTTATAATACATGCCCAAAGTTGCACGATATGAAGGGATTTTGAGGGGAACAAACAATTTGGCATCATGAGTTACAAAATTATTATCTAGAATTTAAAAATTTATGCCATAAAATTCTCTCTTTTTCTGTGGTTGCATGTGTTGTTTAAAAAATAAAAAAAAGATGATGTTAAGGAATACCACTTTGGATACTTTTGTCTCTATTGTTTATGTATAATGAATATATTTGATTGTTCTTACTTTTGTTTTTGGATTATTTTGATATCTTCTAATGAACTATTGCATTGCAGGGTCATATAGCTCTAGATCAGACAATGTTCCCTGAAAATACCCCTGTTTTTGTATTAGATGTATTAGCCCATTCATCTCTTTGGAAGACAGGGCTTGATTACCAGCATGGTAATTGTCCTGCTATTTTGCCTCTGAACTTAATTTGTGAATGAGAATTTCATGAGGGCATAAATGTCTGACTTGATTTGAGGAGGAGGAATAAAGTTTTGATTCATGTGCTCTGTTTTCCTTCAATCTATTAGGTACTGGGCATGGTGTGGGAGCAGCATTAAATGTTCATGAAGGTCCTCAAAGTATTAGCTTTCGATACAGAAATATGGCTCCCTTGCAGAAAGGAATGATAGTAAGCAATGAACCAGGTTACTATGAAGGTCATGCTTTCGGCATTCGAATTGAGGTACTATAATGATCCCGCTACATCTCCTTGGGTTAAAAAATCTACCTTAGCTACAATTTCACTTTATTTTTTAATTTTAAGATTGAGTTTGTCTGTGTGATTTTAATTATGTATCTTTGTATTTCTTGGTTGGGGTCTTAATGCTATTTTTTCCTCAAAGAACCATGCATCATAAATATGGTGATAAAAAAGAAAGAAGCTGTACATGTAATGCTAGACTGGGGTCAGGTACTGGAGTTGTAGGAATTGCATCAGCTGTGATGCTTGACCACACCTCATTGAATTTAAAAGAAACAACAGTAGAGTGTAATGCTTTGGTGTTGTCCTATTTCTTTGGTATTTCAGGTTCGTATCTTTGCTATTCGTGCATTCACTTGTCTGCAACTCTTGAAAATCAAAATTGCTGCAATAATATGTTGGTTTTTCCAATCTGTTTGTTGTATTACACTGTCAGGATGCGAGATACATCCACATGCTATTTTTCATAAGAAAGGGTGAGTCATTTAGTAGGTGTTAGGTTCGTTGTGGCAGTCGCATGAAGTGCCTCAAACAAACTTAGTTATTGAACTTTATCAAGGTGCATGGCTTGCAGAATTTTAAGATGATCCTGTCATGCTTTACAACAATTGATTGATAGATTAGTCATAAACATGAAATTGAAAAACACTGAAAATTCATTACCATAAAAACAAAGAAAACTATTAAAAATCACATAAAAATTATTAAAAAAACAACCATGTCATCCATTTGCTTGTGCAGCTGTAGCATCTTGACATCATTTACACTTAGAAGGCCACCTAATCAGCTACAGGTTGCAGGCTATCTAGCTTGGGACATAAATGACTCTTTCTGTATGTATTATGATATGAACAGGATATAGCCATGATTCATTTTGTAAGGGACACAGAGCAGTGACTTGCATGAAATGACAATATTACAATCCACTGATCACTGTGTATGGTACCATATCTTACTAGACGAAAAACAGCCCCTCAAATTCAGCTACTTCTCCCATTTTTTTGCCAAATATTTTAGGGTCATTGAGTAAATGATAGATTTCAATTAAGGCATGACTGAGACAAACTCGATGGAACAATGCATGTTAGTTACTTATAATTGTAAAATGATCAAAAAGCCATGAATTGAATTACATGACTTGTCTGATTACCCATAGAATTAGCACGGGTAGCAAGAACTTGATTTATTTGGAAAATTTCAAATAATTCTGATAGGCCATCATATATTGAGCCTTTTATTAGACAAGCAAGATATAATTTCATCCATTAAAGATTGGTAGGAACTTGGGATTTAAAGATATCTCATTTCGTACACACACACACACACACACACACACACATAAAGAAAAAAAGAAGAAAAAGAAAAAGGGCTGGTTCTGATCTCTGTAATTTCACATCTTTTGTCTGAGTTAACTTCCCTTTATTCCTCCTCTTTCATTTCTCTTTTCTTTGTTTTCCACACTTCTTAATCTCTGAACAATCTTTCTTTTCCTTCAAATTACTTGCCCAAAAAAAAAAAAAAAAAAATAACTTCCATCTTTGTTACTTCTCTCTACAGCTGTTAGCTACGGAAGCTAACACCAGTTTTTGTAAGATATTAGTCCGTACTTCTCATTTTCGAAGTTAATTTCACCAGCTCTGGCCATCTTTAGTTAATGGTTCCAAGCTCTCTGCAGATTCAAGCAATTAAGAGGTAACACTTAAAACTATATTCATTGTCTTAATTAGTTTCTCAGGCTAAGCATATTACTTAAACATTATGGCGCATTGAATTGTTAGTGCTTAAAACTTATAGTTTACAAGCAATCGATTTTTTGCTTTTAATATATACACTTACTAAGAAAAACTAGAAAATCCATGCTATAAACTAATGATTTCAATTGTTGTTCTACATTTGCCAGCTTGCTTTCTGGTTTGAACAAGTGTAACCATCCTAAATCGTGAAGGTGATTTGGGTCCAATATCAATTCTTTCTAAATTTTTAAGACATTCTAGGCAATTACAGTTAAATTGGAGTTTTAAATGGAGTTGTAATGAACAAAGGGAATAAAAAATTTCGAATGTAGTTGAAGTTAGAAGACACACAAAATATCGCCAGATTTCCTACTTAAGCTAGATATCTCCCTTCAATTTTTCATCATTGTCAAGGATAAAAGTGTATCTATGTAGGTGCATGTCCACCAGACACTCAAAATCTGCCTATATGTAGGACTCACTAGATTGAAGTGTGTTCTGCTGCAAATATTGTATTGCATCATCCTCTCTCTTAATTCATATTTTTTGGCAAAGATAGTGCGGTGTTGTCAACAATCTTCAATAATCAATCAGTGAATTGACTGCTTAACCATCTATAGATGAAGGGGTGTCACAATTAATGAATTTCGACAAGGGAATTCTGTTGATAGCTTATTGGAAGATACAAGAGAGTTTGGATGACTTCTGCTTTTGAAGTATCTGATCATCTACATTATCGATTATTAATTGATTTGGCCCTGTTGACATGATATAAGATATTAGGAGATATGGATGGGTGGCGGTCTATTTTTCTTTCAGATGATTGTTTTTCTATGACTCTTGAGAATCTTATAATAGTCTATTTTGGTTTCGGTCCATCATTTTGTTTGGTTATAAGCTGCAATTTTTTTCCTTCCTGTTCTCTGGCATTGCTGTTTGGATGAAATGAAACAAAATGTTTTTATTGTGCTGTTGCCTTTCTTTATATATATTGATGACCATTTTGTTTTAGTGTTAGCTCTATAGGATAATTGCATCAAGCATTTGAGATTCATATCCTAACATTTGTATACACAAGAATTGCATAGGTGTTTTGTTCTGACTTTAGGATTTTTGTATTTTAATACAGATATCGAAACTGAATTATATGCATCTATAATAGTATAACATATATATTTTTTACATATTTATATCCGTTTGATTTGAGTGTTGGCCTCATTAGTGAAATAAGAAAACTCTTAAAATTGATGTTATTTAGAAGGCAATCTTATAGATGTTGTTCTTCTTTAACAAAGCTCATGACTTGATTTTAGAGAAGTCCATGTATAAGTGATTATGCTGAATTTTTTTTATTTATAAATCTGTATTATTGGTTAAAATATAGTTGCTAGATGAATTATAAGGGAAGATAATTGCTTCAGATTTGTATGGTGCAGTTTGTTAGATTTTATTTGTGGTGCTTGGTGATATAGAGCAACTTCGTAACTTGCATAAAATATTAGTTAAGAAATTGAAGTTTTTTACCATTCATAATATGTTACAGTTTAATACTGCTCCTTGCTGTTAATGTAAATAGTTGGCTATTTGGCGAGACTTGAAGATAGTGCTGGTAAAATTGAAAAATGTCATTGCCGTATTATTTGAAAGTTGTTTTTTTATCAGTTAGCTCTTTTTGTACAGCGTATTTAAATGAATTCCACAATTTTGGGCCTGTTTTTGTTGTATTGAAGCCTTCAACCAGTTTTTATAGTTCCTTTTTGGAACAAAAAAAGCTCTGGTGACAAGTTCTTTGCAAATGATGATCTTATTTAACTCTCTATTATATGTTTCCTTTCCTTGATACTTGGCCAAAGTTCAGCATCAATCTATACATATATTTGCTTTTGGTGTCCTGTTTTCTTCCTCTGATGATAAATTGTAACTGTTGTTTATTTCTACCTTATTTTTTCCCATTTAACATAAACTTTGAAAGCCTTTAATTCAAGAACTGACATTATTAATATTCTAATTCGATGTGTGTGTGTGTGTGTTTGTATTTCTAGGGTCCCTTTTTTTATTGTACTCCAGTGCAGCTACTTCACTTACTGTTTAAAAATTGCAGGTTTGGGACCTGGAAAAGGTTCTTATTATATCAGACCACTATATATTCACTAAAGAAAAGTGTGCAAATCACAACATGGACATATTGAGAGATTTTTGCAACAAATAAAATATAAAGTACTTTTATGATAACAAGGAACTTTGTAACTTCCAGGTATGGTTCAACAAAAATGTGCTCAATTAATAATTTCTATACATTTAAGTGATGAATTTGCGATTAATATTATTTTCTGACATTGAATGTCCATATTGTTTTGTCACTTTGCAGGCTAACCCTGACTACGAAGGCGAATGCCATGTTGCGCTCACCGGATAAGGTCATTACAGGCCCGGAGAGGTGCAATTTTTTTACCCTTATTGAGTTGTCAAATTTACCATTTATATTCAAGAAAGCCAGTGATCATGCATTATGACCTTTAGGTCCAGCTAGAACAGACTCACATGCATGCACTGCTGGAGCATTTCGCCAATTTGCAACTAGAATTGGCAATACTAATGCTGGTTTCGTATCAGGCATTGAGAAATTCCCGCTCAAGGTCTGAAAAATTGATCTTTTATGTTGCATTCTTATTTTTCTATTTAATAGGGTACATGAAATACATGGATTTGGGTTCTTTCTTCATGAGCTTTTCTTTTCTTTGTATTACATGTTTATTCATAAACCCTCCCCACTTTGATTATAGATATTGTGTTTCATGCATGATTTCAAATAGCATAATTGAAGCAAATTTGGGATATCAGTGCAGCTTGCTTTGGCATCACGTGCTAACATCTGCTCTTTAACTGTGATTGAATCAACAAAAATACAAATCCACAACTGTTGCCTGATGCCATGAATCAGCGTAATTTTTTTCGAGTTTGACGCAATCTTTCCTTTGGAGAAGCATTGGATTATCATTTTGTTACGACTGATGTATCCAATGATGTAGATGATGCCACTGAACAAGCCAGTTGTAACAAACAAAAAACTTTTTATTTCAACTATTGTTGCACCCATTTTAATATTAAAAAAAGTAGTTAAGAAACTACTTTTTTTAATAATTTTTATTATAATGCTTCAAAAATTTGTGCTCCTCCTACGTAGCGCTGGTACCAATCTAGTGGTACACTTTGTCTATAAACAACAAAATGGAGCTTATGTAAGGAGTGATTTTTTATGTGTAAAAAGAAATATAGTTTTGACAGAGGCAATCATCTTATATTCAGATTTGCAGCTTCCAATATTAAATTTACCCCATCTTAAGAAAGTTGATAAAAGGCCAATAGACGAAGGGGAAAAAAAAAAAAAATTAGACACAAAGAAAAAGAAAAATTGACATTATTTTTGAGGAACTTTTGTGATAGCAATGCATAATATGCTGTTAATTTTGAGTAAAACACGAACGTTTAGCTTGCCCATCAATGCAGTAATTGTACGATTTCAAAATTATCTTTTCTCTTTAGTTACACGAACAACCAAAAAAGTTATAATAGCAAGGTTAAAAACTCAAATTGCGTAGTTAAAATATCAACAAAAGACTTGAACATGGAAACACAAAAGTAATGAATGGTTAATATAACCAAAAAATAAAAAAAATCACTTTTTCAACTGATACAATGTATTTAACATGTTTATCAACAGCAAGCTCCCTCATCTGCTATCATTGTTACACCAGAAACGAAAATTTATCCATGCATGATCTCTTCTTCTCTGATCTTTACATAATATGTTTCCTTCAAAATGTAAGCATATTTCCCAACCTACCTAATTAAACTACAGATAAAAATTAAAAACCCCTCTGAAAAATCGCGTTAGCTGATTAAAAAGTGGTTCTCTTCCACAATTTCATCAAAAAGATCTGCCAGGGACTTCAATTTTATTGAATCCAACCCCACTTCTAGCTCAATTTGGAAATAAAGCTGCAGTAGAGAACAGAAAGGAGAAAGCATGTAATGGATCATGTCATGAAAACGAAAACTTGTTAATCAGCAAATTTTCAATTACCTCAACCACAGAATTTGTTTCAGACTCATTCTTTACATTGACATCTCTCACAAAATTGGCACTAGACGGAAGACAAGTTACATGCTCTTCATGTCTCATATTGACCGGAAGTGGTTGTAGAGATGAGTTACTTCTAATTATGTTTGATATGTTGATTGCTTCTTCTTCAAACATGTGAATTTGGGAACCTGTACGATATGCAAGGCATGACATGCCAAAATGAACAAATAACAATTAATAATTAATCTTGAAGAAAAAACACGAATTTTTAACATGCCACGAGTTAAGCATCCCTGGGAACGAAGCTCATGAATAAATGCATTCAAATCAGCAAGAGATAGGGATAGGTCACTTAGGACACATTGTTTCTCCTCTATATACATCGTAGAAGCTCTTACACAGAACTTGAAGCCTCCCTCATGTATGATGGAATATTCGACGTCTTAGAGGCTTCATATTGACATTTTTCAAATTTCTCTCCAAATCCTCTTTAATAACCTGTCACACGCTCACAAACCAAGAAATCAGCAAAGAAACTTTACACTATCTCCAAATAAGTGCTGTATATTAGACTAGGCATTCGGTTGAAAAATTAGAAAAACAATGAAGCATCTTGTTACTGCTTGTCGAATTCGGTCTTGAAGCGGAGTAGGTCGATGTTCAATTATGATCAAAAACTTTGTGATGAAATAATATGAGGTTCGGTTTCGCCTAAGAAGTCTACGACTTTCCATGGGTACTTAATTTAAAGAAAAAAATAAAACAAAAGGAATGTTATTAATCGAAAGAAATAACACTAGAGAGATAGAGAGAATTTCGTCAATTAGAAGAGACAAAACTCACTAGAAAAAGTGTAAATATAACAAATCGAAGATATGACACTTACATAATTAGCCATCGAAACACTCGAAGCCATTTGACCACAACCAAAGATGCATAAACACTTTTTTAGATTACAAACAAAAACTATTAGTCCGTTCGATTATGATCACACATGTTTTCTTCGATTCCTAAATGTCTTAGCTCTAGGGTAAACCAACTATGCTCTATTGGTATATTCCTACTGTGGCCATAGGTTTCTTGAGTAGACATTTATCGAAGTGCAATATGATAACTCCTTTAACATGTAAGGAATGACATGTCCTATCTTAGTCATTCACCTATCTCTATTCATTCATCCACCTATCTTTATTAGATTCTTAGCACACTCAACGAATCGCCCACGTGCGATTCTAGATCGAGCCTATCAAAACGAGTGTGAAAATACATAAATCCTCTAATGAGATAACCGTGATGACTTTAAGTCAAAGGACCGGTTGTACCCATCTCATATGAGATTCCTATAGACTAAACCAAATGGTTTTTCATGATGAGTCTATCCTATAGCATTATCATAACACTTACAAGTCTTACTAAATATAGTCAATGTCCATTCTTGACAATGATATGACTTGAAACATTTAATGATATCATTTAATGAATTAATATTTATCTCACATCTTTTGATCAATCATTAATGCAATGCTTATTATACGGATTTTGATCTAATTATATTAGAATATAAACAACAAGAATCAATAGGTAGACTTCTTTTATTAATTAAATAAAAAATGTAATATTATAAAAGTCAAGTCATCCAAACATAGTTGGATCTTAGGCACCTACATTAACGAGTCTTTCACTTGCAATAGAGCCAACCGACCATGTCCCTTATGCCCGATGATCGAACATAGGTCTCATGTTTCAACTATGAAAAAGGCTTTGTGAAGGGGTCGGTTATGTTGTCATTAGTGTGAACCTTTTCTATCTTTATATTCTCATAATTGATAATCTCTTTAATTAGGTGGTAGCATCATAGTATATGTTTGGACCGTTGATGAGATCTTCATTCTTTCGTTTCTGCTATGGATCCTTTGTAGTTGGCCATCAATCTAAGTGACATTGGAAGAAATCTTTTCTTTGATTCTTTCATAATAAATCTTTTAGTATCATGTCAATGTATCTGCCTTAGGAGAGTCCTCACATTTTATGTGATCTATCTCTATACATCCCCACCCTTAGAATATAGATCGCTCTCCTATGTCATAATTGGAGAAATTCTTGAATACCCAATCTTTTATAAATTGGAATAAGATAATTTTATAGTCGAGAAGTAATTTGTTTGTCTTCATATATAATGACCAAGATTAGTAAGCTCCCACTAACCTTTTTCATATACAAGGTTGATCTTTTTTTTTTTTTTTTTTTTTTAATTTATAAAAAAGTCAAAATCTTTCATCATTTTATCAAAATGTTGATTCTCATTCTTAGAGAAATGCTCAAGTTTATAAATGGACCTTTGTATTTTACAAATCTTATTTACATATTCTTTGGTGAGAGAACCATCGGGGTGTGTCTTTTACACATCTTTATTCCATTTTCCATAAACAAGGATAGTTTTGTCATCCATTTTTCATTTGTAGGAGTCAATGTCTAACATTGCCACTTCATAGGTATTAGCTTCGTCATCCACTTTAGGGTACACATCACCATGTGCTTGAGACAAGAAGATAATATCTTTTTAACTATTGATAAACTCGTTTTAGACTTATTAAGTTCTTTTGTATTTGTTTGTATGATAGTTACAATACTTTGTAAGCTTTTTACTTGGGGTTCTAATTAGTTTAATGTCAATTTCTAAGTTTACTAGAATCTCATTGAGTTCAACTTTCCTCCTACTATTTCTAGCATCTATAAATTCCTTCCTAAGAAATATATCATGCCTAGTCATGAACAATACTTTGTTCTAGCGGTAGGAAAATTAATTTCCATTTGTTTCTTTTAGATATCCCATAAATTTACACTTCGTTGATTTTGGTCGTAGCTTGTATTCATCTAAACATTTGACATATACTTTATAGCCCTAAATCTTGAGGAATTTTTTTTTCATTTTCATATCTCATTTGGAGTCCGATCAACAAACTTTATTGAAACTCTATTCAAAATAAAAGTTACAACGAGGAATGTATATCCTAAAATGAAACAAGGATATCAATTTGACTTATCATGAACTAGACCATGTCTAACATTGTTCTATTCCTCCTTTTGGATACACCATTCCATCATGGTGCTCTAAGGTAGAGTCCAGCGATAAAGAATCCCATTCTCTTTTAAGTAATCTAAATTTTTTATTGCTTAAGTTTTTATCACCTCGATTTGATCGAAATGCCTTGAGACTTTTTATAGTTTGTTTCTTGACTTTAAATCTAAATTCTTTAAACCTTTGAAATGCTTTAGACTTATGTATCATACATAACCAAACTAGGATCAGTCATCAATAAAGGTTATAAAATAATCATGTTCTCCTCTTGTATGGGTGAACATGGGCCTAAATACATCTCTATGTGTATGGATTAATTAAATCAATAGCTTTACTCCTTTTCCACTAAAAGGGAATTCATATCGTTTTGCTAAGTAAACAGGATTCATAGACATCATCAAATGATTCTATATATCCATTTATGATTAATTGGGATATGCGATTTTTGTTTATATGGCCAGAGTTAACAATGTGTGTGT